TGTCTAACCCTTGCGAGGATTCCCAACTTTTTTGCAGCCAGTTGAGCTTTTGCTTCGATGTATGGCCCAAAATTGAGAGTAGACGTCAGCGTTATACCAAGAAGATCAAGATGGTCAGTTATCGACACGGATACACCCCGGAAAGTTGGAGCAGGGCTAAATTGACTCCTTTTACTGGAAAATAGACACGCCTGAGTTTTAGCTGCATTGAACCTGACCATGTTGCCATCGCCCCATTTAGAGACAGCCTCCAAGGACAAGCTCAAGCGCCCAACCATAGCCTCTCGAAGAGTCTAATCAAATCAAATCAAATCAAATTCTTTATTTCAAATAGACCAAAAAAGGCACTTTTGAACGTCAAGCAAAAAAGATATCATAAGGTTTAACTTTATGTGTCAGTCTGTCCGTCTGTCCTCTAGTGAAGCTATTTGCTCGTTCCAAAGTGTAGATTCCTATGGAGAAGAACGAGCAAGAAACTCCATGGTTACTCTTTTTCAATCACTTTTTACAATGCATTGTTACATAATTTAGATAGTTCCATTATGTGAGAACAGTGTAACACTAGTGTTTAACCAAAGTATCCGAAAAAGAAATAACCCTCTGGGACAGCAACTTTAGACAGTCTCGAGTTGACCAGTCCCAATAGGCGGCGTCCGTTCACGAACATGACACGTACACCAGCACCGCCCAACTCAACCATATTATAGGGAACCGAGCGGTCCAGTGCCCGTGCCACCGCCAATGAGACTCCTGAGTGAGCATGACAACTCCCAACTGACACAAGTACCAATATACTATAAGTCTAACTCAATTATAATAAGTTACAGGGCTCTCACATTTACAAAAATCCAGTTTATCAACAATTAACAACATGGTGAATAATTTAATAATTGAGATCAAAATTCCTCTTAACCTTAACAATTTTTATCCTGTGCAGTAAGTCTGGATCTGTGACCCACTAGCTCGTGCGCCGGACGTGTAACTCTCAACAACAGTGCTGTCGTCTGCATACCCAAAGGTACCGGGCTTAAGCAGGTCGTTTATGTGCAACAAGAACAATGTTGCCGAGAGCACTGACCCCTGAGGAACCCCAGCATTGATGGTCATTTGACTCGACGAGCATCCATCGATGACCACACGGATGGACCGGTCCCTCAGAAAGTCTGCGATCCAAACACACAATCCAGTGGGTAAACCGAATGAAGGAAGCTTACTAATAAGGCTTTCGTGCCATACCCTATCGAAAGCCTTCGAGATGTCAAGGGAGACGGCAAGCGCTTCCCCGTGTTTCTCGATGGCCTCACTCCAGATGTGGATGGCATACGCTAGAAGATCACCTGTGGACCGATTCCGGCGAAATCCGTATTGTCGGTCACTTAAGATATCATTGGCTTCTAGGTATGCCAGGAGTTTTGTGTTCAGCACACGTTCCATTGTCTTACAGAGAATGGACGTTACTTAGATGGGCCTGTAGTTAGCTGGGTCAGCCCGACTACCCTTTTTGGGCACGGGCTGTACGTTAGCTTGCTTCCATGCATTCGGCACTTTTCCAGCCTCAAATGAAAGCCTAAATAGGCGTGTCAGGATTGGAGTCAATTCTGGCGCACACGTTTTCAGCACGATTGCCGGTATCCCGTCAGGACCGCTAGCCTTGTTCACGTCTAGGTTACGTAGCACCCTACGGACGTCCTTCTGATGGATGCGAATGTCTGACATACTCGTCTCACATCCATCAGGATAAGCAGGGGGCCGCGCGTCACCGGGATCCAGACGCGAAGATTCCGCGAAGAGGGAGGCAAACAGATTTGCTTTCTCCTCAGCGGTGTGGGCCAGCGAACCGTCGGGCCTCAGCAATGGCGGCAGTGAGGGGCGGCAGAAGTTCGATTCAACCGACTTAGCCAAGGACCAAAACGCTTTGCTACCAGCGGGGTATGAAGCAAGTTTGTTCCCGATGCGGCTGATGTGGTCGAATCGAGACCTCCGCATTGCCTTCTTGCAAGACTTGGCAGCACTGTTGAAGGCTCTCTTCTTCTGACTCACGTCACCCGCCTTACGCATGCGAGCGTCGGCCCAGGCCCGGTATGCTTCGTGTTTAAGCGCATTAGCGCGATCACATTCAGCACCAAACCAAGGACGAGCTTGGCTAGACATTGTCACGTCGGAGAATGGAATGTAGTACTCCATCCCCCGGCGCAGCACATCCGCCACAGCATCTGCGCATGACGATGGATCATCCGAAGAAAAGCAAGTAGGCTGCCAAGGATAACATGCGAAGAAAGATCGCATGCCCTCCCAATCTGCTGACCTGTATCGCCAGATCCGCCTGGTGCCTCTAGGGCAGAGATCAGGCGGAGAATAGACTGATACCGATTTCACCAGACAGTGGTCGGAACTACCTAACGGTGATGAAATCGACACTGAGTAGCGGTCTGGATCTGTTGTCAGCAGAAGGTCCAAGCAGTTGGCCGTGTGCGAATCAACATCCGGCACCCTTGTAGCTCCCTGGACCAGCTGAGTGAGATTTAATGCTAGCGCAAGCTTTCGCATCTCTCGACCAGCATGGTCTGTGCACTGGTATGGGAAGAGCCACTCCTGATCGTGGGCATTAAAGTCCCCCAGTAACACCAGTTGAGCGGAAGGGTACCTCTGCTGAGCCGCATCCGCCGCCTCACTAAGGTACTGTGTGAGCCTGGTCGCCTCCTGATCTCCACTGTGCGAGCGGTAAACACAAGCATAGATAATTTTATCCACGCCTGTGTCCACCAGAGCCCAGAGCGTTGAGAATTTGGGATCCTCAAGGTTGCGGAGACGCCGATAGCAGATGTCGTCCCGGGCGTACAAGCACACGCCAGCGTGTGGTTTAAAATTGTGCTCCAGGATAAACCCTGGGTAAGACAGGTACGACACATCTGATGGACTTCTAATCTGCGTCTCCGAAAGAAAAAAGAGGGATGGTTTTTCCGTCTCAAGGTGGTGATGGACTGCTGAGAGATTGGAGTGCAGACCTCGAATATTGCTGAGGTGCACTTTAAGTGAGAGGGAGTGCAGCCGCTGTGTACCGTTTCTCTTTTTCTTGGACTTTGGCATATTCAGAGTGAAGAAGGTATGAGGAGAAGGAAGTGAGATGGAGCCCTATGCAGCCAACCTTCGGTCGCGCACCGGTGGGACAGCATCATTGGGGTACTAGTCTGGAGACTGCGGGGACGCCCGAGCCCCCCCGGAAATGACCATCGGGCCCTCTCATCTGGTCGCCAACCAGCACGATGGTGCATTCCGGGATTTTTCGTCAGTTGGCGGGGCAGCCTTTCACGTGTGGCTAGCACATTACTTGGGCCCCCTACTAACTGCGGTCGGCCAGCGGTGCACCGTGCCTCGGATCCCGCTACCCTCCTCGACTAGTCTCCCGATACGTCAATACCAGCGCGAGGCCGGCTGGTCTGCATGCATTGGAACCGCCACTTCGACCCATTTCCTCAGTAGTGGCTACACAGGGCATCGTACCGGAACACGGCTAGGCCGCTTGGCGGTACGTCTTTGCCCAGTGGGTGGTCACAAGCCATCGGTCGAAACCTACCACCAGCTAGTGTCACCTGATTAGCACCACCCGGGGACCACGTGTAGGGCCTAACTGTGGGTATTCTCCTACGGACGCGGGTGACTCAGCCCCCGAAATGTTATGCATGTTTGTACTTTTGTACCTAGGTAGGTACGTTCATTCCACATTTTCTTGTTATTGTTATCGAAGTGTGTTACTAAGTAAGTATATATAAGTGTAGGAGACCCAAACTTCGGCACGTATGGGTAGGCTCAATCGGAGTAATGGTACGGCCTCACAGAAAACCGACGTGTCTCAATTATAGCGTTGCATTTCGCCGCGTGAGTGAGGAATAACCAGAAGGTTAATTTTACCCCTACCCCCAATCCTCACTACTTAATCTCTAATATTCTCCAAAAGGCTGACAACGGATTCGTAACTCCTCTGGTGTTGCGGGTGTCCATGAGTGGCACCGATTACTTACTTTCCATCAGGTAATCTGTCTGCTTATTTGGCTCTCTATCTTTATATGAGTATATAATTCTGCTGTACGTGTGCATGTGATTGAACTCCTCCAAAACAGCTTGACCGATTAAATGATTTTTTTTGTATGTACTCAAACAGTGGCGCTCTGGGTGAGGGTCACACTTTTTTTAAAACCCTAATCGCTTGAAATATGGTATCCAGGACAACGTCTGTCGGGTCCGCTATTCACATATATACCTATGTACATATGCCTAAATCTTTTTAGAAAAACCGCAATAAAATCTGTTGCGTAGTTTTAAAGATTTGAGGATGTATAAAGTATAAAACAAAGAAGCAACTTTGTTTTATACTATGTAAGTAGTGATTATCATTTGAATAATGTAATATGAAACAATATCTGAGCTGAGAATCTGATAAACTGACGGTTACGTAAACTGATAATGTGTATTCAAATGATCCTGATAAAATCAATTGTTTGATATTTCTGCGTTTATTCGCCCAACGAGCATCACGTACTTATCACGTTTTTTATCGATATAGGTCTTTATTAATTGTTATTATCGATATTATTCGCCTTATTAATACTGTTATCAAACAAAGCTACTGAGTTAATTTTTATATTCATAAACTTTGATTATACCGTGTAGATACCTGTTTGTCAATGTTACAATTGCTTTGAAGAAGCCGAATAAATTGCTGTTGAAAATGAAGTTTAAAAACATTAGCATAAGCCATTATCAGCGTTTTCTGCCCACTGCTGGCCTCTAAAATTTATTCCGTTTAAGTATAGTGTGTAATGCCCTACCTAAAAAAACGTCAATCAAATTAGATCTGTTGATGACACCTGTCCTAATATTTGAAGAAATATTTAAAGAGTGTTACAGGGTGTGTAAAATTTGTATCTTTATTTGACGTTCATGTTTTTATTGTGTAGGTTTGTGGATGCTTGTTCAGTGGCAGACTACAAGAAGAAAGGATATTTTGTTTGGGAAATTAGGATACTTATATCTTATTCCCTAAAACAATTTAATCAAAATCCATTATTCAATCATTCACATAAAAACTACATATAATTTCATACAGAAATACGGTTAAATATATTTTCTCTTAAATCTAATACTACATCCATAATTTCGTGGGTAGGTTTTTTATATTTTTTTTTTTTACATTTTCCACTTAATATGCAATAAATATATTCTTATATAAATCTCGTACATAACACGTAGTAGTATGAATATGGTTTCTGCTACATTCTGTAAATATCTTTATTTTGATTTTTTAAATCTGATTATAATTTCAGGTATTCCGTTGATTCAGGATATGATTGTGAAAGATAGATCTTATCTTTGTTGTCATAAGTACTAGTATAAGTTGCAAAATGTAGACCTATACATATAACAATGTACTTACAATATTACTTAAAACTTTTAGACACAGTGACTAAACAGAAAGCAATCCATTACAATAAATATTTATTGTAACAATGGTCAGCGCCAATCCACTTATAGGTAACATTGTTAACAATATCTGAATATAACTACATCAACGAAATTTATTTAAAATAACGCTACAGATTTAATATTCTTTGGCATCTGACCATTGTTAGAATAACTAAATACAAGTTAAATAAACATTAATTAAATATAAACTGACTAAGAATAATTTTGGGATTAAGATTGTAACTGACTAGAGCAATTCACAGGATCGCATTTCATGCTTGACAATAAAACAGAAAGTAAAACTAAAGTCGTAGCTAGAAGATCAATAGCAGCTGACATTAGGTGTTACAGCTACTTTAATATGCAACATAATTAACTAAACAAAGAATAAATAAAATATTCGCAACACAGTTGAGACCCACTAGTATTGATACTCTAACAATTGACCATGTCTCCAACGCTCCAATAAAAAGCTAACAATAAATAAACTTAATAGTTTGTGTTCTTTAAATTCTTAATATAATAAGTAGGCTCGTGTGTTACCTTATGAAAATATTAAAAACGTTTTTAAAAAATAAATGCTATAGTTAGCGGCACGCCTCAAGTAGACACAGTCAGTTTGATCCTTGCCGAAGTTTTTTTTTACATTGCGCTGTTAAATATCGCCATCAAGCGTAGACAATCCGAAGTTAAGAATTTCAAATTGTTGGAAAACAATAGATGATGCAGTCCTGGACTTTGTTTGGGGTTTAATATAGCAACCAAGTTATTCTGAATGAAGAATTTCAATGGTATTGTGTAATGTATAGTTCAAAATTTCGTTTTGCCTTGCGAAATTCTCAACTCGGAGTTGATAGAAATACATCAATTCCACAATGATAGAATACTTAATAATATGTTAAATAAGTAACGTAACGTGTTCATTTGTTCGTGTCGGGTGCGCGGGTTAGTTAGGCTTCTCCTTATCTTTGTCGCTGCCATCTTTGTCTTTTTCTTTTTCCTTATCTTTCTTCTCTTGCAGCTGCTGCAGATGTGCCGGTAAAGCCTTCAGGATTGCGTGGACCTGGAATTTTGACCTCATTTAGTATGTTTTAACAAAGAATTTAACTGAGATGGCAGGGAGAAACCATTTAAGTTTTCATACAGGTATGCAGGTTCCATCACTTTAGAGTAATTAGGGGTTGCGGGTCAAGTCGGTCAGAGTCAATAAAATACCGCAGCATCGGCCTGGAGCAGGAGAATTAACGATGGGTTTAACCAGTAAGAGTCTGACACTCCCTCTCACCATACTCTGGGCGAGAGAAGACATTTGATGATTTGGCATTGGATTTGGATTTGGAATTCTACTTGATTATTTCATGTAGTTATTAGTTCCTCTCGTGTCATTTTATCCACTAATTGACTGATATTAAGTAATTGTAGCTTGAAGTTTTGTACCTAGCCTAAAAGCTTTCTTCGATTTAGCTCTAACACAAAAAACCTATGTACCTCTGTCTCTGTATTTGTTCTCTATTTACTGTATGTGTGATGTGCATAAATAATAAATAAATAAATAAATAATAATAATTTATAAACAGTAGTTCTGAAGATTAGCGCGTTCCAAAAAGTTAATTATTCAGCTGTACAAATAAATAAAGATTTAATTACCTCTTCAGCGACGGCCATTAGTACGAACTCGAACTGTTGCTTGGTAGCGACAGTGCGCGTGCGCTGGTCGCGGATGTGCTCCAGAGTAGCCGCGATGTCGATCTCCTTAGCGCCCTTAGCCATGCGGTTCAGTACCATGTCGATGAGGCAGTATGTGCCTGAACGACCCGCGCCGTCACTGCAACATTATACTTGTCAATTAGGAAAAAATATTACATGAGTTCACTATAACTAAATCATAAAAAACATGGCTCAATTAGGTACATATTTTTAGCCACCAAGACTGGCTGTTCCATTCTCCCTTCAACTTACTGCCTGAATGAATTTAGCCATTCAATCAAATGACTAGTCAATTCAGGCGGTGCCGTTACTTCAGAACAAAATACTCGATGTAATTTTATTTTTACCTGAATTATCTAGTATCTAACTAAATATTATATTATCAATGACTTTGATCACAAATCGTAAAAATTAATGACATATCATTAATTAATTTTTACGTTTATTGATTTTAAAGATAAAATCCTGTCTACATTATGATACAAAGATATCCGCATACCTAAAGCCTATCGCTTAAGATAATTTTGATCAGAAATTAGATGTACATCAATAATGGTTATCTACGTCATTGTTATTCAAACAAAATATAGTATAAAAATTATTAAAAATGTAAAGTCATTATATTTTATGTATCTAGATAAAATGGCAGGTACAAATCTGTTTCCAGTTGGCGTAGCAACAATTTTACGGTACGTATAAACTTTCGTAGCGTCGACTACGAACTGCTACGCGGCGTAGTCAATTGGAATAGGGGTGATAAGAATTCCACCAGATAGTAAAATAATACAAGAACTTATTTTTTTTTATTGAAATAACAAAACTATTAATGTTTAAAGATAAATAAATGTTCTTATTTAGAAAGATTTTACCTGCAATGGACCACGATTGGACAGGATCTTCCTCTGTACGACTTGTTCACCTTTCTATAAACATAGGAAAAAATAAATGAGTAATTAGGTATTAATTGGTACTCCCTTTTTCTATTTTTGAAGCTGTTTAGTTTTATGATCATAAACAAAAAAATATTGTCAAATTTTTAGTTACAAAATCAATAAACATATGTAACTAGCAAGCTATTCGTTACAAGCTTATATTTCGTTTAAAAGTCATGAGAGATAGATTTATTTAATTAACTTTACAATTAATTTTCGGTCATCTGTAATTTATAATACTTATGTATGGCATAAAAATATATATACATAATCAATGTTGCAGTATCGACCAATGTTTCAAATGGTTTCAAAATTTTTACATTACCGTGGTATAAAGTGAAATATTTAAAGGAATACAATATTCAAATATTTTATTCAGAAAAAATTACATAATCACAAAACAAAAGCAAATTGCAGATTCGTTTTAAATTAGTTCTGGCCGCCAATTTACATACCTGTATATCATAAATCATAAGAAACAAAAGTAATATGTTTTTTTTTAATAAATATAATAGCATCTTACAAAAAATATTTCACTTGATATTTTTATGAAATTATAATACCTATATGTACATATATCGAACATTGTTGGTAACAAAATTGAGAAACGCATACTAAGAATGTTAATAGCTAAAATTCCAAATAAATTTTGCGGTCAATCATGAAAAAAAAATATCGAAGATATTATTTTTAATCATTATTTGGCGGTAGGTATAATCTTTCCAGGTTTGCTGGCCAGTGTTTGAACTAGAACCCTTAAACCATTTTTTCATTATGTGTCAACTTAAATTGTTTTTAGTAAGATTCTTATATTTTTATTACAATTCTAGGATAATATTAGAAAAATGATAATATTTACCTCCTGAACTCCAAAAGAGCTTTAGTAGATGATGGGACTCCATTCTCAGGCCAGGAGAGGAAGTGGAACTGTGTAACAGTGCGGGTTTCGCCAGTGCGCTGGTTCTTCAAATAAAAGCTTCGTACCAAGTAATCATCACACCATATGTGCTCGCTCACCAGGTGCACCTGAAATATTCATTATTTGTCTTTCTTTAGATCTGTTTATGGATCGAGTTATATAAATATAGTGTTTGTTTTTAAATAAACACACATAAGAAAAACTTTTCTTTATTTTCCCCAGCTTGGCACAAGTGCAATGTTGATACTATTTTTTTACACTTTTTAATGGATGTTGGACATTATACTTTACCCTTCCTCTTCAATCACTCTAAGTATTAGAAACATCGCATCAAAATACGGACAAAGAAAGCGACTCATTGAAAGTTTACCTCATATATATGATAAAGTTCAGATCCTTCTTCAGGCCAGTAGCGGTGGCAGAGTTGTTGTCCGTTCTCAGTAAGTCGTGTGAGCATAACCATCACGACGCTGCCTTGTTCCCATACCATCTGCCAGAAGTCAGGAGCCGTGTGGGCCATCGGGCCAGCCGCTGCGATGTAGGCCGGGTTGCGAGGATCATGATCCGTCTGAAAAAAAAACAAAATATTTTTTAAAGGCTTTATTTTTTTGTTTTAATAACAAAGTCTAACAGACAATCAAGTTTGAAATCACCCATCTGCCTTGAGCAAGCGCGTTGGTTTAATACTCGAAACTTCTCCGTGTGAAAAGAGGCCTTTGCTCAACAGTGGGTATGTATAGGCTGATGATGGGAGACGATTTGTTATAAGGAAATATTTAGAAGAAAAACTACGACACTTACAATAGTAGAAGCATTAATGTAGTCAGAGCCGAGGTGGTTCGAAAGCGTGTTCAAAGTAACCCTGGAATGATCGTAGGGTAGCACATCAGCGTAGCGGTTCTTTCCAGTGTTCTCTGGTTTCAGGGCAGCGGTGGTAGCACAGGGTTCTGCCTCATAAGCACATAGGGCACGCCATTCTTGCTCCAGACGATCCTTGTTACGCAGGTGATCCTCCATATAAGCCTGTCAAAGACGGCGAAAACAATCAATAGACCATATTTGTTTGGTAGAATATAAATCAATGAAGTGTTAATTTAAAAGAACTCACCAGAACGATGTGTCCTGTCGAGATGTCCATGTTAGTAAGCGCCGGTTCCTCGCTCCTGTAATACAAAAAAACCATTTCATGAAGTTAAAAGACTTCCATATACCTTCAGTAACTGAACGTGTTAAAGATATTCTTACCAAGACGAGGTGCTAGACCGAGTGGAGGGTGAGTTGCCCTCGGGTTCCTTGGAGAGCGAGGTGATTCGCTGCGGTGGTTCTGTCGGGTGAGGAGGAGCAGCCGCCGTCTGCTGACCTGTCCACTTGCCCGACATACGAGCACGGCATAACTCCTGAAAATTTAAAACCTGCAGGTTTTATTTTTATATCCAATTAATGTACAGACACTTAACATACATAATTACCGACAAATAAATAATAACACAAAACTATAATATTTTTTTACTTATAAACTTGATAACATAAAAAATTATAATAGTTACAACATTTTACAAAACCGTTTTAACCTTAGCTTAATGTATCCGAAACGAACACGACCTTTCACACATTCTACACGACAACCTGTAAACGGTTTACACAAAAAAACAAAAGCTACTTTTTATCTCATTAAGTCTTATGTAATCGATCTTCTATGTGTTGTATCTTACCTGATAATCCCGTGTTGCTTCAGCGTCAATCTCCGCTGCGGAAGACAATCCGTTCATCTTCCTCTTAGCACTCATATCACGCTTTAACAGCACAGCAAACACCACGGCTCCAACAATGAGAACCAGCAGGCTTCCAATTAGAGCTGACAATACTGGCATGTCCAAGCCTAAGATGGGTTCTGGTGCATCCAAATGGTGGCTCACGGGACGTTTGCTCTGAAAATATAGATAGGATGTGACTCCAAAAGAAAAATCTAATTTTGTGTTCGAATAAAGATCACATAGCCCTTCATCACCACTTACTCGGTCTCCGATACCAGTTGACAGTATTTGAGCGCCAGTCTCACGACGCAAATCATCTTTTATTTCATCTGAAAATTTTATACGTGTTAATTCAAGTTTTTAAGTTTAAATTAGTTAAATCATTAATAATTTATATTGTATTACTTAAGTATCTATGATTAAACAAATTGTCTTACCAACGTGGCGCGCAACGTCCACCGCATTATACCCTTTATTATTCTTCTCAACTTTAAATGTTACTTCACTTGTATCAACCCTAAAACAATTTGTTACATTCCTTAGTACATTTAAAAATTTTAAGAACAATAAATTAACATGTATAATAAAATGTATAATAAAATGTTTTAAAATTAATATCTTAAAGAAGATTTTGATCAAAATTACCGAGGATTTGTAAAAGTGTTTTTCTCTAAACCAAGCATTTCTTCTAGTCTTGAAATAAATGAGATGCCTTTCTCCCAGTCAGTTAGGAACCTGAGGCAAACCGATTACAAAATCAATTCGAAGATTACTTTAATGAATCAGATTTTGTTTCAGATACACTTTAATATATTTAAAGTCTTACCTATTCTTGAACAAGACATAAGCGTACGAGGGATCGTAATCAAAGTCGTTATGATCATGGTCGCCAGGCTTTTCTTCCTTCTCAGCAGGTTGTGCTCCATGAGCTGAAACATAAAATCATACGGAAGCTATAAAGAAGAACAAATAATGACATATCGAAGAATTTGACAACACCAACATGGAACTCGAGGCATGCAATTGTCTTGATGAAGAACAGTTTCGAATTAATATAATTTCCAAAGGAGTACACATAGCAGATCAAGAAAGATTAATACAAACACTGGGATAAAATAACAAAGAATAATGGAGCCCACATTCGTCATTAACTTCTAAATCAATCACGTTCGAATTTCGGTAATAATAATACATACGTGATCGAATCAGAAGAAATAGTGAAGCGCATAAAATGAAAACAAAATTAATAATAAAAATTATAAACGCATAGATATCACATGAAACATTTATTTATAGACATTGAAGCTGATATTATGACAACACAAATTCATAGGAGGAGCCCACAACGTGTAGCCCAAAATTAAAACATCGATGATTACAAGGAAACGCCATCAAACACTTATATACCATCGTCACACAGAGGCAACACGTTCATACAAAGGACTATTGCAGCCCATGCGTCGTGTCTCACAATAAATCAAAATGTGCTGGGAAACACTTAGTGCGGTGTTCTATACAAGACGTGGAAGTGCGAGTAGTAAAAAATATAGTTTAACTCAGATGCAGCTCTAGCCTGTAGCCTGGCTCTATTCGAGGGAACATCGATAGGATCTAAAACAATTATCTCAGGCTGCCGTGACACTAACCTGTCACTGATTTATTGTGGTATAATATCTTTAATGTTTTTGCGTCCAGGCGCGGCCCAGGCTTTTTAACATCGTCTCTTTCCCTACGCTTAAAGCCCCATTCGTTATCAAGCAAATCTTGAATATCCTCGGGAATAAATTTTGGACTTTCACCTGAAACATCGTCGGTATTTATGTAACACCCTCGGTCTGCTTTGAATCTCATTTATAGGTTGGGTACTTGATATCAAGGGGCTTACGTGAAAAAAATAGCCAAGAACTAAAACAACACATTGGTTAACTGAGAAGTAAAAATTAGGGAAATTAATTTAAATGTTATTACGTTAGTAGTTTAACAGAATGAGTGAGATAATGTTGCTGTTGTACCTACAATGCAAACGAAGCAGAAAGCAACACAAATTGCCGTCTTTACACGGAGTTACCGCTAACGTGTCAAGTTAGGCCACACATTACTCACCTTGCAACTCCTCTGCTCGGAGCGGCCCTCCCTCGGCGTAAAGGGCACCTTCTGGCTTTTGTTTAGAATCAAATACATCACGCCAGTAATTCATGAAATATTGTTGCATTTGTTTTGAATGTTTAGCATCTAGAGGCGGCGAATTTTCTGCAGAGCAATAAATTTTAAAATAAACAATTATTACTTGAATAACAAATCTTAGAGAACTTAAACTGATTATATCAGTAATTGTACCTTTGATATGATAAGGGTCCAGTTCTCCGCTACCAGCATCAATGGGGAATTCATCGATTCCGTCTTCATCAATGTAGACTCTTGGCTCAGGCAATTCTCCAGGATTCTCGTATTCAAAGGGGAAGTGTTTCTCAGCGAAACTTTGTTTATAATTCTTCCACGCATTGGAACGAATCTCCTCGTCTAGGGGCGAAAATCGGTTGCTCGTGATATACTCAGCAGTGAAAGGTGGCGCTTTAGTCTTGTACTTGCGGAAATGAGCTCCGACTCTTTCTTCATCAGCAAATGCCATGTTGGGTTCATTTTCGCCAAGTATGTCGGGCAACGATTTTTTCGCTTTGTCGATTATCACCCTAGGCACAGGGTTTACGTTGTCGCTAGCTTTTGCTTGCTTTTCAGCTAAGATTCGCTCTCTGAATCCAGAAAACGGCAGAATAATAGGGGATTCCTCGTTACCACCCAGTAGCATTAGATCACGTAATTTGTCGCTCGCCGTTTCGCCTTCGGATTGGTCGTCATCTACTTAGAGAAGAACAATAAAAGATTGTTAATAACATAAACAATGACTAATATTTATGTATTAATGGTCTTTCTCAAAGTTTAGTAAAATAAAATGTTGACTTGGTTTTTTTCTTACGGCATCAACATCATGTTTTATTAACCACATGTCCTAAAGATGACGTAGCGTACTTTTGTTCGTAAACTTAATTTTTATTTATCTCATTATAAATCAAAATGTCTTGAATATTTTCCGACACCATCCATCCATTCCATTAACTGACACTGGCAGACTAAACAACGATGCATATTAAGACGTTATCTCTATTAGTAATCGTATTTACCTTTAGATATGTATGGAGTCGGGTCATCATCGGGGGTCAATGGCGGATTATAAACTTCATTAGCGAAGTTTGAGTCTGATATCGCCGAGTTAGGTGTGAAGCGTACATACGCCGTCTCATCCGGGTCAATCTGCAATTTGTATTTATTATTGAAAACTATATGTTATGATGATTTCACTAATTTTCTTCACTCCTTTAACAAAGAGCAAAAAACTTACTTCTTCAGTATTTTCTTCGGGGTTGTCATTAGTGTCAGAACTTAGTTTGGGATCAGCGAAATGGTCGCATATTTTTGTATTGACAGTGGCTGGATCGCTAGAAAAAAGTAGACGTATTAATGAAATAACAGCACAACATAATGTGATATTAAGTGTATCAACAACACAATAAATTGGACTAACAGTTCCTGTCGCAGTGTGTAGAGCATGGCCTGCAGCACGCACTGCGTGTAAGCATGCTCCCAGCGGTAGCCGCGCGAGGCCAGGCGCTGCAGCTCACCCTCGAACCACTGCAGCTGTTCCGAGCTCATATCATACCTAAACAAAAAAAAATTGTCAAATAATTGAGAAACACGATGATGGTTGCTATCGAAACGGGTACACAAGTGAATAATTAACAAACTAAGTAAATATATAATATAATTTATTGAAAATAAAGACTTATCATTCAAGTGACTGACCAGGGAAAACGCAACGTCGCGACACGCAGCAGTCTTTCGACAACGTTATCGCGATCTGCTCATGAGTAAGAGTCCCGTTGTTTTTTGAAACTAGTAGAGCTTTTCTCCATTAATTCACGTGACTAAGTCATTATTTTTAATTGATTTAGTAGTCTATTCAAAAATAATATACCTAGTTGTGTTTTATCGTTATTTTACTTTTTAATCAAGACAATAAACTGCGTTCTAGTGCGCGCAGTCCGATCTGTATATTTGGATAGAAAGTAAGACTTTCTATTGCACTTGACTCTTAAGCACTTGTCCAATGCACAATGTCTAAAAGAGGTCATATGTCAGGTGTGATAGTCATAATAAAAAACAGTAACTCACTGATAGAGCGATCCCTCTTCAACCTCCTTCTCGTAGACCGGTATACATTTACCGAAGGCGAAATCTGAGGGAGGAAAATGATGAATGTGTCAAGTATTTATTGAGAAAACTTTTTATGAAATATCACTTTCATAGAATCAGCGCTAAAATTCTTCTGGTCAAACGATAGGTAGATATGTACCCGAAATGCTTATTTTTCAAAAAAAAGTATATTATGTTGACAGAAACTTTGTTAAACTAAGTATAGGTATATCAAAAATTACAAGCAGTTTTAAAATTTGCATACGAAAATATCCACTCCACAGAATTATAATAATGTAAATTTTGTGATAAAATCATTGATGAAATTATATTTCAAAATGACGTCCAGCCAATGGAGTTAAAATCATTTTACTAAAAATAAAAATAAATCTCAGAATTCTGGAATATTCTATTCTACGAACTCCGAGTGTTGATAGTAAGCGTTTCAATTATTTTCCCTCGCCTGCATTTGTGTGAAGGTTGCAGAGAAAAGTTTTTCCATTGAAAGTTTGCTTACCGTCGTAGCACCATTCCGCACCCTCCACGCATAATGATGCGCTGAATAAGCAACCTGGACAATAAACAATATAAAAAAAATTTGTTATAGCAATAATTAGCGAATTACCTACTCTCAAAATAAACTTAATATTAACTTAATATTTGAATCTACTTAGTAGAGAACTTATTAATCACCAAAATTGTAGGTTCACTAATTGGTTGTATTATAATCTTCTTGAGATGTATGTTTGTTGACTCACTCACTTAAATGTATGCCGCGATAGCTCGTCTAGTTTCAAGCCAAGCCAGGGGCTTACATTTTTCAGTATCGAGTTAACTACACGTCTTCGTCGTTCATGCATCGCGCATTGCTGCTCAGGAATATGGGCCTCTAGCATGGCTTGAAACTAGTCGAGTATCTCGTCAAATTATTACGTTAGTAAGCCGAAAACATAATAATTAAATGAGCTTCTACCGTTACTTGTAACTAGTTAAGTTAACTTGCAACAAAGTTACGTAATAGAATTATAAAAGTACAATTCTATATAGTCGATATGGATAAACAAAATAAATGTGCGCATCTGTATGTACAGAATCTAAAGATACATATTTAAGTGACGAGTGAACAGTATGAGCGAGACAAGACTAAGCTTCCTTTATCATTGAAGAGAAAATCTTACAGATAGAACGGATCAAGGAGCACAGAGATATCCTTGAGTGCTCAAGGTATTCTGGGCTTACACTTGTTTGGAGCGTGTATTTACTAAGGTAGAGGTTCTAGACACGGCTCAAGGCTTTAAAAGGGTTTATTTGATCTCCTATAATCCTATTTTAAAGTTTACCCCTTTTAAGTATTATAGTACACTAATACTCTCACGCGGTTTCATCCGTTGCTCGGCCCCAATTAATCGTAGCGTGATGTTGTATGTAAGGGAACATTGTATAGTATTTTGAACGGACACTCCTTGGATACTTAAGAATTGTTATAGAGATATATACTTTCATTGAAGGAAACTTACCTATGTTTCCATCGGCGTGCGAGGGCGCCAGCGTGCAGAGCAGCGCCAGCGCCCAAAAAGCCTGTCGTATGGACAGGCGGCACATTACATCTGAGAAAGAAATAAACATCAACTTAAACTTAAGTCAAGAAAAATAAAAAAAACTACACAAAAACCGAAAAAACTACACAGAAATATGTATAAAAATCTACACATGTTCGATCCAATAAATAAGTACAAGTAACAAAGAAATAAACTATCGGTGTACTTTTTCTTATAATTGTTCTACGAGTAGATTGTGTGGTCCATTACAACATAATAATAGGACATTTACAGAAGCAATGTCCACCACTAGTTGTAGAAGTCCCTAATTACGATTCCAACAAGATTTTAGTAAGTGCTTATTGATGTAGCGTAGTTATTCTACACACGAACGACTTTTAGTTGTTATTATAGTATTCTAGTTACCTCCATAACTTTTTTCCAGTCGTTTATTGTAATAGATAACCTATAAACGTTTTTAATTATTTACGTAGCGTTTATAACTTAGAAATAAAAGAATAACAGTACATAACAGGGAGCGTGGTAGCTAGTAAAAGGTCATCGACATTTTTTAATCAATTCTCAATACGTAACAATGTCGATACCAACATCTTAATTAAATCTAGACGGAATTACGAAACAGCTTTCCTTTTCCTTAGTACAAAGGCAAAATATGAGGTTGAATCCACAATCAGTGTGGTAGATAAATCCATTGAGCCATCTATCTTTGTTTAAAAGAACACGACCTAGATCCCTCGCCACAGATCGCCAGATTAATTCTGTAAGGACGAGAGACAAGCCGTAGGCGTCTTTATTTATGTTTCAAACACCGATATCCACTCTAAGGCACTTGTTTAGACCTCATTACTAATTCATAAAGTAAATTTTGTATATCTATTAAATTATATCCGAATAAGTCCCAAACACATTATGGTCTTAGCAAAGTTTCTCCAAAAATAAAGGTACAGGTAGAAAAATGTTTTTTTTTTTTTTTTTGTGAGGGGAAAATCATCAAATGACTTCTCCCGCCCAGGGCCGGGCAGGAGGGAGTGTCAGACTCTTACTGACTAAAAACCCCCCTGTTCCTTCTCCTGCTCTGTGCCGAGGTAGCGGTACCTTATTGCGCTTACCCCGCAACCCCGGCTGAACATCAGCCCTTTAGGGCCCCGTCTGTGGTGGTCTATTGGCTCTTTGAGGCGCGCGCGGAACGCTACGCGCCGTACGCTCGGGCCTGGTTCTGGTCGGGCGGCGAGCTGCCCTTACTCGCCGACCGCAGGCCCGTACTTACGGTGGCCGGAGATCGTCCCTCGATCCCCGACGCCCGTAGTGTCGCCAGTTGCGGCTGCTGGGGCGTGAGGAGGAGGATTGCTCCCTCACGCGGGCCGCCTCTCTCTTTGCGAGCATGACTGCTTCACAAAAGGAGGAGACGGCGTCCCAGTTCCTCTCACTCCGCACCATGGCCTCGACTAAGGCCGGGCGCGAGAGGTCGCCGCCGCCGATCACTTCCCTGAGGATACGGCGGTGCTCAGCCCAGGCAGGGCATACCGCTACCGTATGCTCCACCGTATCCTCTAGGTGGTCCTCACAATGACGACACTCGGGCGTTTCCTCCCGCTGAATCCGAAACAGGAACCTACCGAAGCTGCCGTGCCCGGTAAGCACCTGCGTCAGACGGAAGGTGAGGGCGCCGTGGCGTCTCTCAAGCCACTCCTCAAAGAGGGGTCTTACCGCTGCTATGGTAGCGTGCCCGGCCCTCGGTTGCGACAGTCGCTGTCTCCACTCTGCCGTGAGATCTCGCCGGAGCTCATTCCGCCACGCACTTATTTGGCGCGGCAGAGGATCTTCGCCCCGGCGACGCGCGTCTGCGCGCAAACTGTAGACGCGCGCGAGCGCCTTCGCTTCTAGATCCCACGGCGGTGATCCGGCAAGGAGGTTCGCCGCCTCCCCGGAGATCGTGCGATACCCGCGGATTACTCGTATAGCCATGACCCTCTGGGACGCGACCAGCGTACGAGCCGGCCGCCGCTTCAAGTCCGGCGCCCACACAGGGGCACCGTAGAGGGCCATGGATCGCACAATCCCCATATACAACCTCCGGCAGGAGGCGTTTGGCCCCCCGAGGTTGGGAAGGAGCCGCTTGAGCGCGGCCCCAGACCGTTCCAACTTAGGGGCCAAACGACGAAAATGCTCCGTGAAGTTCCATCGGCTGTCGAGGACGAGACCCAGGTACTTCATCGCCGACTCGACGCCGATGGTAACTCCTCCTGCCGTTACTTGGGACCCACCTGGAGGTGGCGCGCTCCGACGGCCATAGAAGGTAGAAAAATGTTGTGTTGGGATATTTGGAAACAATGTCAATGCCCCTTTCCAAAGTTTTGAAGAGACTAGTGTTAATCAGAAGCAGTAGGGTAACATGTGTTTGCTAAATGTTCGTGAAATTGTTAGCCGCGGCATGAGTACTGAAAGTTAACAGGGCATGGATCACAGCCCAATCCTTCTCCACCTCCATTCTTAAATATCCGAAACACTAATCCTCAAAAGATCGACGACGCACTCGTAATTCTCTTTGTGTTGTCCATAGGCCGCACCATTTGCTTACCAACAGGTAATCAGTTGGCTCGTTTGCCGACCTATCTCATAGGTAAAATAAAAACAATTTCTTCCTACAAAGTAATATTTCTTCTTTGTTCATTCAATTAAATAACATTAAACAAACGGCAAATCCTACTAGAATTTGAGATTAGAATTACTTAAAGTAACCTACAGTTTGAGAGACCAGAATATCTACCAGGCTACCATTTCGTAGGTTCCGATTTATAGCCAAAACGTGTTTACATTAGCTACAACTTGGATACATTTCCTCGATTTTGCTATTGACTTACGACGTAGGTCAGTAGTGGGCGTATGCTACGAGCTCGGAGGAGTGGGCGTAGACGAGCTACTGGATAACTAAAGTAAGCAAGCTCGCATTTTTAAACCTCTTCAAACCCAAGTTATTTTTAGTTTTAGTTGCAGAGAAACGCTGAAAATGCCGAGCTTGTTAAAGATTTTAATTAAAAGTATCTCAAGTTAAATAAAAATAAACGCTAATGCTCTACGGGTATTTAGTCCGAGCGTACTTTTCGTAGCGCTTTCGTAGTAGTCTCGTAGTCTACTACGACTGCTACGGGTAATTGGCAAAGAAAAAAGTTTGGTCAGTTTAACGTGTCTTAAAATGTTTTATACCTTATATGAAAAATAATTTTCTTATAATATTTAATACTATTCAAAGTATAGTTAGGTATGTTACATGTGCAGCTAATTGAAATTACGGTAGGTAACTTGTCAATTATATTTTTGCCTTATAAGGATTCAGAACTATTTTTATATTTCAAACGAATCATTAAATAAGGATTTCATCATAGGACTATTTTAATATTTAATACGAAACAAAGTTTCATTTTTAGTTATAAAAGTGATAAAATAGTTGAGAAACTAAGCAAGAGATATAATAGTGAACGGCCAACCTAAAGGCCAGTCTATTCACCACAGTAATACCACAGAACTAATCAACGAACCTAGGCACAGAGAACAACAATAACTAAATAACAAAATTCGCCCAGACAAACAACTTTAATAGCAAACAATGGGTAAATAATTAGCTTTGACAAAACAATTAATTGTAAAGCATATTGTTGGGACACTAATTGCTAGGTATGTTCGTTACGGTATTATAATTCATTGAACGGGATCTGGTCGTGGGCGGTGGCTGGCGACCGACGTGCGACGTGGTATGCACCTGACAGCCATTCACACATACATACCTATAGGTAACTAATTAAATACTGGGAGCTGGGAGCAAGCTCCTTCTACATACTACCTATATTTCATGAAGTAATTTGCTTCATGCTATATTTAGCTCATAGGTCAATTTAGTGTAGGTATTATATGGAACATACGATGTTCTTGTTTTTTAATTTTAAATTTAGAATTATGTATGAATGAATACGTGTCTGGTAAGGATCTGGAATAGACAATAGTTTTATAAATATGTGGCCTTTTACTCTTTATTTAGTTACGTATACTTTATAATTGTTCCCTGTAAAATAAATAGGTATAAATATCTGCAATAACTCGGGGTTGCAGGGGACGGAAATTGGTGGATTTTAGTTAGTAACTCCCTTTCGCCTCATCCTGTGCGATCGATGTTATATGTTGATCCCCCCCCCCCACCACCCACAGGTGTAGAATAACTGGTAAAGAGTAGTCTAATTGTTCGTTCAATTAGTTGTTACGTCATTAAAAAAGTTAGTCAATTCAAAACTCCAAAGTTTCATTATAAAAAATGTAAATGTCAAATAGTTATGTAGGAAGCAACTTGAAGAAATTAAGTATATTTATCTATATTCACAGGACCTCGACTTCCAATAATCGTGAAAAGAATTCAATCACGATAACATTTGATATAGCGTATAAAGTTGAAGTAGAAATGTTGCAAAGTAAACAGGGACGGGTATAACGGGTAACCTCAGGCCACCTCATATCACTTCGAACGTGAACTATCGGAAAATGCCAAATGCAATATCCAGTGAGTGCTGGCAGCCCTCACAGCTTCTATTTACTTATATAGACATATACCCGCTTCTCCTAAAAGGGATATAAATGTTATGAGTTGATAGTGGTCAGCTTGTGGTGGTAATAATAGAGATATTTACTAATGGAATGAACCCGAATAGGTATAGAATAGTCATTACATTTTATAGGTAAACTGTTCAGAACAGTTACTTAATAATTACATAATTACTTTTGAATATTCAGCTTGTTTTTTCATAGAAATGTTATAGGTACGAAGCAATGAATCAACTATTTCGAAATGTTCTACAAACTTATAAGAAGCCAAACAAGTACTAATGTATATCGGAATAAAAATAGACACTAGGCAGTGCTAAGTGTATGTCTATCTACATAGAATGCGGGGCAATTGCGTTCAATAAATTATCGATATGGATATAGGTATATATGTATTAAAGTTCAAATTTTCTTAAAATAGTACCGAATTAAACTTTTACAAAATGTTTTAGGTACGATAACGCTGACAGCCAGACAATGCCAAACCAAAAACATTATAAAAATATCAACAAATCAATAATATTATGTAATTACTATTTAATTCGTTAATACCGCGCAGAAGGGAAAAGTTTCTTTTATGTTACTTAAGTTTATAAAACGAAACACTTATTTCATGGCAATTAAAAAATCCAAACTAATGTCAGTCTGTCTGTCTTTTCTTCACGCCTAAACTACTGAACCTGTTTGTTTGAATTTTGTTAAAGACATTGAAGAAGTTTGGAACTCCAGAAATGACATAGGATAGTTTTTAAACCAAAAATCTGCAGGAAGTCACTATTCCACGCGAACAAAGTCGCGGGCAAAATCTGGTTGCATATGAAGGCTTGCCAAATGCTAGGCAAGCGCAATTTCAGATATTGTGCTTTTACTTACATATTGTATTAATAATAGTTTGCCCAAGAAATAGAACCAAGATATCTTCTTGCGTTTAATAAAACGAACGAACGAGTGTGAGGGGAAAATCATCAAATGACTTCTCCATTCCAGGAGGGAGTTAGACTCTTAGTGATTGCATATCTGGTACCTAATCTTATTTTAATTAAAGTAAACCATTTTATATTCTTTATATGTGGGTTTTTGAAAGAGTTGAATTTAATTTGAAACAAGCACCCAGTTTCACTGACGGACAGATTTGTCTGACAGACAAATCAACGTTGACGTTTGAAAAGTGCTTTTTTATGGTATTAATTGAAAAAAATGATTCGACTGCGACTTTGAATTGTAATGTGTAAGGTCACGCGTGGGTGGTCGGTAAAGGTAAGTATGCCGTATACTTAGTACAGGAATGACAAATCTCAGAACTTTACTAATCCAATGTTAGAAGGCCGGAAACATATACAAATATATTATTAAAATTATTCGAGTACAACATTCTCGTTATCCCTACCTTTAATCAAAAAGTTTTGGTTTGTACGGGTCCTATTGTGAATTGATATGATAATTTAATAAGATGTACCTAAGTACGTAAGAACCTTTTTATTTTGTATGCAAGGTTACATATTAAGTATATTACGTATTACTTATCGCCAATAATTTACACTTTTAAAAGATTAATTAAAATTAAAAGCCAATAAAGTTCTTACATGGGATTTTAGCTATTTTTCGGTCATTTTCACTTAAAAAAGATAAGAAGACTGCTTTAATAATAATAGAGGCATAGAACAAAAATACACATTAATTAAAATTAATAATCATGATATTCAATGACGGCGAAATTCGATAAGTAAATACATATTTCTTGAATAGACAATACTAGAAGTCTACTAAATTATAAAAATAAATATCAAAGAGAGCTTCTATATCTTGTATACGGGTAAACATATATAAGTATGCATACATAGGTACCTATAAAATTTTACCTCGGATTTTAGAAAATGCTATGAAAAATGAGGTGTTTTAAACTGTACATTTCAACACAGCATACAACAAAATGTGTTAAAGAATTATTATATTATTCTACCTACAGCATAAGGTTTTAAATCCCTTTTAATCGCTTGAATGTGCATTACTATAGAGCTCAGAGCTATTGAACGTTCTTCCTTTCATATAAATTGTTAAGAAGTTTCAAAATCGATACCAAGAGCTGCAGGTATGGACTAGAATATTGATGTAATTGCAGGCTTGCTTTGAAGGTTTCAGAACGATATGTGGAATGTTACTATTGCTTTTTTAATAGAAACGTATATGTATATAACAAAAGATATAACATAAGTGTGGGAGAGCCATGCTTCGGCATGAATGGGTCGGCTCGACCGGAGTGATACCACGGCGTTACAGAAGACCGGCGTGAAAGAACCACAGCGTTGTGTTTCGCCGTGTGAGTGAGGTTACCGGAGGCCCAATCCTTCCCCGCACCCAATCCCTCCTGAATCCCTAAATCTCCAAATCCCTAATCCCTAAAAGGTCGGCAACGCACTCGTAACTCCTCCGTTGCGGGTGTCCATGGGCGGCGCTGATTGCTTACCATCAGGTAATCCGTCTGCTCGTTTGCCGACCAATTACATAAAAAAAAGAAACTTGTAAACTCCATTAGTAATACGGAATGTCTAATTGATTTTTGGCTGCCTCTTTCTGACCACAAGGGTGGAATATTTCCAGCACTTTTTAAATGTTTTTATGGAAGGATAGGAGGCAAACGTGCTGGCAGACAAATTTTTCCCGTGTTATATTATAAGTTCTATGACAGGGGGAATGAGTTGCTACATCTGCAGCTGCCACATTTACAGGCTGCAAGCTAATATTATTATTCTTTACCCGAAAGCAACCTGCTCAGTGCTAAATTGATGTCTTGTTTAACAGCTGTATTTTGTCGATTTGCGGTGCACATTCAATATCTTATTAAAGGTATGTAAAAACCTTCAATATCAAAGAGTTACAGGCGCGTTGCAGGCTCTTAAGGAGTATGCTCTTTCTTGAGGGTTTCTTGAATCCCTCAGAAAAGTCCCCGTGATTAGTGCGATAAAGGATACGTGAGGCTACATGGTCGTGGTAGCCCGGTGGCTAAGGAGCCTACTTCTCATGCTTGAGGGTCCTGGTCGAATCCTGGCAAGTACCAATGTGACTTTTGCCGAGTTATATGTACTTTCTATGATTATATAGACACCACTGACATACGGTGAAGGTAAACATCGTGAGGAAACCCGGACTTAAGTTTGAAATCGCCAACCCGCATTGAGCAAGCATGGTGATTAATGCTTAACCCTAATCAAACACGGATAAGGGCCTAGGATACTCTAAAAATCAGTAAAGAGGATTAATGAATGTAGATGGAGCGAAATGTTAAACCAGAAGTGACGATGTGTATTTATTTATTTCTAAAAATTAATCACGTCGATAAATATCTATAATTTTGGTGAGTATAGCTTTAATAATTCCTTTTCCATAATCGAATGATTGCTTTTATTTGATTGATGGCATCGTTAGGCACAACAAATAGGTACAAACAAGTTACAAAGAAAGAAACTTAATTTATGACTGTCAATCAACTAGAAAATTATAGGTGGGGACATTCATAACGGTTCTTTAGACCGATATATACCTTCACAAGCCTAACCCTAACTGGAGTCATTCAATATAAATTTAAAAACTTTACAAAAGAGGTAACAAATAAAAACACTGACTTTCTTTTAATTTTAAGTAGAGCAATATTTAAAAAAAACACTCACAGTCTTATTAAATATTTTATAATTTATATTTGTTCAGTGATTAATTGTTCTTAAACGCCCTATCCAAATATCTATATAAATAGGTGACAATTTACATGTAATTACATTATAAAAGGTCCTAGTTGTAGAGAATCATTAATCAACACTTGACTCAAGCAATTAAGTTAATAAAAAGGTTTAATAGAACCCCCACTTACACTGATTGAAGGAGAACACACACCATTGATTTTCATAATGTATGGTTAAATGTGATATTAATACCTATATTAACCTACAAAATACTACAATAAAATAAAAAATAATATTATACATATCTGAGCTATACAAAACTTATACGGTTATTCTAAAAGCTTCCGTTAATTACACAGACGGTTTTAAATATCTTCTAAATTTACCAAGAACAAATTTTGGTTTTAGAAATATAACTGTACAAACAACTGTTTGATATCGACCCCACGCTCATAGGAATAAAAGCGAAAATTGCGCAGATCGTAGATACAACGTTCTATAGTTTGTTATGTTGGATCCACTGACGTAGTCACTCATGCCCTTTACCTCCCACGCGAATTGTATCTTGATACCATTTTATTACTGAATTTATTAAACATCAACTGTAATTATCGATATTAGATAGCACTATTACTAATATTTACGGAAAACAACCATTTAACACCAATTTAGCGAATGACTGACATTGCACCGAGAGACTCCGTTCACTTAAAATGTCACTTTATCGATTGCGGAAGCTATATTTAACTAGGCAAAATAATGTAGTAATTTGAGAAAACATTATAGATTTCACAAAAGCTTTTAGTTTATAAACAAACACTCACAGTCTTAATGAATTGTTATGTGAACTCGTGTAACAGGTTTCCCGTTAATATGCAGATATGGCGACGAACACTGAAAATATGTACACTGTGCGTACACGGAAAGGGCGGACAGTGAGAGCTAATGGAAAGATTGTTCTACGCACCGTTTAGAGCCGCCGATAACACTGGAACATGTTCGAGATACAGCTGATACACTTTGCCCCCTCAGTGTGGACACTGAGGCACAGGTTGAGCGAGTCGGTAGCGGGTGCGAAGCCGCCAGCTGTGTACCCGCGGAGCGAGCCTGCGCACTCAGCTCTATCGATCCTGCGCCCGTCCATTCACGTGCTGCCACTTCGCCGCCTACATAACGACGCACCGCGCCGATGTTACACACCAATCATCATTAGATAACGCGATATTAGCACTGGACTGCGAGCCTCACACTTGAACCACTTCACTTCGACAACAATTACGACTTTATCGGTGAAAGTTTCATGAAAAATAAAGCTTTCTGAAACGCTTTTCTTACGTAACTTATAATTACTTTGTACTTTTATACAATTAGGTTGGATTAGATGGCTATTCGCACAGAGCAATGTACGATTTAATAGAAGTATGACATTCGAGTAAATACGAGCGAGTCAGTTGGAGACGGCATTCGCCCACGCTAAGTTATCGCCACCCTGCATGTAAATGACGTAGTTACGATAACACGGCTTCGGGCCACGCCAATGTCGCTCTAACTCCCTACCGCTACAACAGCCATCATTAATTTTATGTGCCGTTTATTTGTCGGTACTCATAGGTCTTTGTTTACCTGTTATGTAATCAATTAAGTGAAAATTTATAGTTCAATTATATTCCAAAACTCTCGCTCCTTTCTCCAAATACTAAATAGTCAGACTATATATTATTGAATAATTGATAATGTAAGTTGATTAGTGCACGTACGTATTGTAAATAAGTAGGTTTAGTTTGCGCTCTCCTCTTTCGTAAGTTGAGCAGATAATAAAGATATACGAAGCAGCTGCAACGATGTGGCACGCATACATAATTACTTGACATATTTCCACATGGTCACGACATCGACAGAGTCAAACCGAAAACTTAATAACTTGTATTATACAAGACATTAGACAAGTTCAGTAAAATGTTGATGAAATTGCTGTCTGTGGAGCGACTACGTAGTTTGTTTATAAAGTACACGTAGAACTTACTCAGATAACAAAGAAGCGAGTAATTAAGTGCAAAGCATCGAGCTTCGTTATTAAAAGTTTGTTGAGTGTGGGTAGTGCCTTAGTGTTATTGCACTCATGTATATACTCTGAGAAACTAGCTGTCTTGATATAGGAACCTATGATATAGTCTTTATGTCCTGTAAGACTCATGTTTATTCATTACTTCTGATATCGGAATACCTGTTTGTCTAAAAATGTTCATATGAAATACTAGCTATTCTCACGCAGTTTCACCCGCTGCTCGGCCCCATTTGATCGTAGCATGATGTTTTATAGCCTATAGCACTCAGGAACATTGTAGCTACCAATCAGTGAAAGAATTTTGGAAATCCGAGCATCGGTTCCAAAGATTACCCCCTACATATAAACTTACAAATTTTACCTCTTTATAATATCAGTATAGATTTTTAAGACGAATTTATTTAGCTCAACAGTTAAAAATTATTTAGATCTCTCGTAGAACCAAATTTCGCACTTGTAAGTTTAAGTTTAACCCTAGTTCAACACTGATATTGGACAACATTGAATCGGAGACTAGGTTGCCATTCAAGAGAAAAAAACACCCTATTATTCTCAATTTTACACTCGAACAGCAACTCGTAGCCCTTTGTTCGTAACGTGTATCAGCGTTATGTCCCTATTTATTTAATTTATTAGGAACTCCAACAGAGAATACACATTACATGTGCAGTATAAAAAAAACAATTATTATAGTCGTGTGCTCCTCCAATTACAGGGGACCACATCGTGCATAAAATAATAACCTTGTAGACGTTTTAATCTTGTAGACAAGCTAAAACACGCATTTTGGATACGGTATACAGAATTTATAGATTTTTCTTGTATGTATACACCCAGCTACTTATATGAATTTTATTCACGGTTTGCTTATCTACGATATTATAGCGGAAAAACGCTGCTACGTGTTAAGAACTACCCGATACGAACAACGCGCTACGAACTAAGCGCTACAAACTACGCGCAAAGAACTACGCGCTACAACTGACACGCTACGAACAACATGTGGTATTTTTTTTTTTAGTAAGTTACTTATGATTCTTTGAATGTATTTAATTTTCGATTTTATAATTAAGGTGAAAATATAATCTAAAATGAAGGTAAGAATGGACATCAGGGATAATCTTCTGTAAGGTTCATATTTGTGTTTCTTCTTATAATGAGTGATAGCTTACAATGAAAGTAGTTGTAGTGATAGATACTACTAAAAGTTAGTAGTGCCAGGTTAGGTACATTTCATCGTATCATGTGATTAGAAAGGTTACGCAATATGAATGGAGTTATCGAATCTTCTGAACGATTTTTACACATTAACAATGATAAGAACAAATTTAAAAACTGACATCTGAATGAAACGGCTCCATAAGCTGAAGTGGTATCTAAATTAATACTAGTTTATAAATTTCTATTGGACATTAAAAAGTAAATTTCAGCCAAAAAAAAAATTGGTATTAATGCAATCGAAAGAAATTTGCTATGTTATTTAAACTTTAGTTTGAGAGAGAGTAAAGTTTGAGAAGTCTTCCATTAACACTATTATACGAGTATCATGTCCAAGATGTTTATCTGTACCCTTATAATCCAAACCAAAGTTAAGAAGGGTCTAAAATCTGAAGAAACGCTTCGAGAAGAAGTAGGTTGTGCTTCGATTAGGTAATCTTGGTGAATGCAATCCCATGCCTTAAGATCTGGTCACGAAAAATGATTTTATTAGAGTGACCTACGCGTACTAAGAAATAAGTAATAAGAATTCTGGATTCCGACGTAGGTATGTACCTATAGGCGAGCCTTTTCTATATTGTGTATAACATTTAATAAAGTTTCATCCACCACGAACTATATACCTTTTTGCTTTACTTGCTAGTAGATACCATTCTATCTAGTAGTTCAAATAAATTACAAATCTGTAACTAACTGTGAAATGTTGACTACTTACAAAAATAAAGAGATTTTCTCTTCGCAATAAATTCAATTCCCTTATCGCATTTACTTCCTGACGCAGTGAAGGTATGGGCTTATCCCTTACAAGCCTAAACAAATTGCATAAAATTTAATAAGCAGTAGGAGAGGCATTTTTAAATTAAATTTGTAGCAATATGTATATAAAGTCAAGGCTTGTGGTCGGCTAATTCCGTAATAAATTAAGAGAGGTAACACCGCGGTACATGATTATTTCGTTAATTTACAATTACATTATCACCTAAACAATTACGTAATTAGGTAAAAATGTCCTTAGGAAAAAAACGGAAATGTGATAAAGAATATAGGCAGAAACCTACCAACTATCAACTTGAAAAATCCAGTGTTTCTTAATTAGATATACAATTTCTATTAGTGGATAAATAATTCAAATGAAACACAACAACTTGTAAAACCTGAATAAGTAGATAAGGAGCAAGTTTGCTTGACAGTGGCACTGGTACCCTACTTTCGTAGGTATGAAATGATGGCATCCCTCCGTCCTCGGTTTAATATACAACATAGATACCTACATATATATGTAAGTAGGTATTCTAGATATGCGGGAAAGCTTTGCGCTGCGCCGAGATGTGCAATATCGTGTCCCGATATGAAAGTATGCAATTATATACCTTATACATGTACCTAGTTATACTGGAAGTAAGGTATAAGGTAGGATGTCTTTGCTTGAGATTAGATATCGAATAACTTTGATATAGGTTTTTTTTTTCAGAACAGGTAACGTTGGCGATGTGATTGTAGTACCTAAAGGTTCATTACACTGTAGTGTAAGTATCATTTGCTTGGACAAACAGGAGCAATAATTGTATTTAATTTTAATACTTGTTTATATGTATTTATTTGATATAGGACGGCAAAGGAGTCGACGCATTAGCTGATGTTAAGCAATCAGCGCCGCCCATGAAACGTACTCGTAGCTCTTCTCTTGTTGCGGGTAGGTACAGCAGAAGAATTAGAAGTGCGTTTCAGACCTTTTGGGGTTTCGGGGATTGGGTGTGGTTGTGGAGTATGGGGCCTCCGGTAAACTCAATCACACGGCGAAACGCGACGCTGTGTCTCTCACGTCGGTTTTCTGTGTGGTATCACTCTGGTCGAGCCGACGCATTCGTGCCTAAGCTTGGCTCTTCCACACTTTAAATTACTTACACATTTTTTACATTATTAGTACCATACGTATTGTTTAGACCATGCAAGTCAATAATTGCTTTAAAGCAATTGAAACCCATCAAATTCCCTCTTGTGTTTTTTTTTAGTTACCATTCCCCGGGGCCCGGTTATGCCCGTGGTTAAATCATTACAATGTTTCGGCATGTACCATAGTCCTTCCTTAGTTCCCATTAGGTATACCAGTCCATAGCAATCTAGACTCACAGTCTTTTGTATAGATCCACAATAGCTCCACACTAACCGGCAACAGTCCTTGGGTAGTTTTTCCACAGTGCATACAGGGATAATTTCATAAATATAGTAATTGTCCAAAAGTATTTCGCGCACTTACGCCTCCTAAATGACTGACATCTTGTGGTCCCGTGATCGGCAAAGACATACAATAGCTACAATACATACTCGCGACTCGCGCTGGCTTCTCACAGTACGACTTTAATGGGTGTCTTGATACATATAAATATTCCTCTTGAATTAGGTACTCTATCTATTAAAGAACCGCATCAGCATCCGACGAAATTTAATACTTAAGCATAAATAGGGATGTAGGGCTGTCCCTAAACAAAGTAGCTATCTCTGTAGATAGCTACTTTGTTTTATACGATGCATGGCTATGAAAAATCACACGGATCTTAAATAAGTTTATACAAAATAATCGCTGTTAGGTACAGCTTGCTGTTAAATTTAAACCGTAAAGTGTAACGACCACAATTTCCTTACGTACTCATAATGAGGGCTCCAATTACTGAGCTTAAAATAGATGAGTACTTACAGCTGGGTTAAGCCTACCTTGCATACGAAAGTACAAGAACCACTTGGTAGTACCTACAGCGATAATTAACACCACTCATTAAAATTTCATATAAAATAAAATGTGATGTAAAGACGGTTACGTTTCAACCAACAACTTTTTTAAAGGTGTAGGTTTCCAATTTTGAATTCGTTTAAACGATTGACGTAGGGCAATTTGTATAAAGGTCAGTCGTAATAATTTTGAACCTGATAGTTACATGACAAAGCTAAGCGAACGACCACAAATTTATTCTCGCCCACTTCTTATTACACGGAAACTTAGGTAAGAAAATTGTTTTTGAAATGAATAACAATAAATCTTTGAAGGGTAGTTTCATTAATATTTTTCTGTAGGTAAATGTGGGAAGGCAATGCTTCGGCACGAATGGGTCGACTCAACCGGAGTGATACCACGGCCTCACAGAAAACCGGCGTGAAACAACCACAACGTTGTATTTCGCCGTTTGAGTGAGGTTTCCGGAGGCTTCCTTCCCCTTCCCAAATCCCTTATCCCTAAAAGGTCAGCAACGCACTCGTAACTCCTCCATTGCGGGTGTCCATGGACGGAGCTGATTGCTTACTATCAGGTAATCTGTATGGTCGTTTTCCCACCTATTCCATAATAAAGAAGAATAATAAAAATATTTTTTTTTACGTTACTAGTTGCACTAGTATTGTCTCCTGTGTCGTGGTTGCGTACTAACTACACATTACACCCAGACTCGAACTAAGAATTTGTGGATCACACACGTGGTTCAACTGTGTGGTCATTCGGTTAAATGTGTTAAGTATTAGGTATAAAATTTATTATTTGTCCATGGTAAGTAAATCTCATAACTACTTCTCCCCAGTTTGTTACAAGTTCAAATCTTAAAAGTTACTTCTAGATATAGGAGACCTAATCTGGGAATGAAAGTCACAAACAAGTTTTTATTGTTATCAAGAAGTATTGTAAGTATTGTAGGGTTATAAAAAAAAAAACAATTTTTGATGCCAACAGATGTTTTATTAGTTTCATCCAAGCAGCCTTAGATGTTGAAGCATATTTACAAGAACTGTACATTTATTTTACAGTTTTTAAACTCTCGATGCGACGGATAAATAACGTCTTATTACATTACCTACACAGGTTTTAGTACATCGAGTTAAGAAAGCAGAACATTCTGTAACAGTCGTGATTTCACTGTCCAATATTCACTACTACAAGCACAGACAGGCTTTTGAAAACAGATTGTAATTAGTATTTCAAATTTGTAGTGCACCTTTCTCATAAAATATATTGTTTGCACATAGTGCTATAAAAATGTGAAATCTGTATAAAAAAATAAACAACGGGTCAACCACAACTGTCTCCAATAAAACTGAAAAGTTTTGTTCACGTTAGAATACACAATACAAAATAAACCGTTTAGCAAAAATATTAAACGCCAATTAATACGTGGAATAGAAAAATACTTTAGGAAAAACTTGCGTTAGTTGTGGACGCTTAAATCTACATTATAATCAACAACGAATAATTAGTTACACCGGATCTACGAGACGATAAAATTTATATTCACTAATTGTCTGTCATTGAGTATATCAACTGCGTACGAGTTTGATTGTCTAATCTCCGGCGCCGAAGACACACGAATATACACAACATAACTTACGTCATATATTTTTCTAGAATTATTTATAAGTTAACCTAGGTAATAACAAATTTGTAGCTTTCTGACATCAATCAAGTAACATTCATTATTCAAACATATCTTATAAGATTGCAAATTATGCTAGGGCGGTCCATCGATCCGGCAATTCGAGGCAAGCTTAGATCACTACAAATAATATTAATAAATTATTACAAAAAAAATGACTTAAAACGTGCCAGTGACGCAGTAACTTAGCTTTCGTCAAAATAACTAAACTAACAGGTACTTAATGGTGAGGCACCGTGTGATGTTGTCTAACTAAATAAATAGCACGTTGATACACTGTCATATGAACACTTACTCAGGTATACCATAGATTACCATAGAAACCAATTCTTTTCAAATTAATAAAAAATATAATATAAGTAATGTATAAACACGGTGTTACCGTGTCGATAGTTATGCACTAAATAGTTAGTTTTCTTCAGATTTAAAATGAGATGTAGAAGAGATTGAAGTTAAGCAAAGAAAGTACAAACTGAATTAATGTTCAAAAAACAGTATTACAAAATAAAAACTAAAATTCTAAACGAGTAAAAATAGTGAGTAATTAACTTGTTAACGTTCAGAATCGTCGTTCCTAATTCCACTTACGAGTTGAACGAATAAGCTGTCGATATCAACTGCTGAATTTTACCATGCATTTTTGATAACTTACAGAAGCACTATCGATTTAAATATTCTTCAATAGGTATCTGAGAAGGTAAAAACTTCTCTTTAATAGATAAGTAAAAAAACTACGCAAAAGCTTGTAAAAATAAATCTTGCTTGTGGTATGAAAAAACCAACCACGAATAATTTTAGTTTTAACCAATACAATAATAATAATTAAAGATTTTTTTACTGGTCAACACAGCTGCCTTTAGAGATGCCAACACAGGGAATGATCATCGTCATTTACAACGAACACATTTTCTACGTATAAATAGACGCCAATTGACTATGTACATTTTATGATAATACTTATACTTCCTATTTACTCATAATGTCTGCTTCGTCATACAATATTATTATTATTCAAAATATAATCTCCGTTACAAAAATAACACTCCGTAATATACACTTTGAGATTACATAGACAAACTCTTACTTATTTACACATTGACATTCGAGTTATACGAACAGAGTACATACAGTTACATTAATATCAGTTATATAGTTATAGTATTTAGTAATGTTGCATGCTGGGTTGGGTTTTAGAGGCCAATTAGAACACAATGGAATAGTTTTAGGATCGAAAATAACGTAAAAACTATACTAGAATAAAATTATAATAATGTTAGGAGGGACAGATCGTCATACGATTCTCTTTCCGGCGACATTAAAATGCTGTCAGTCTTATGTAAATTGACATTTCAGAAGATAACGATACTATTTACAGTAACTTTAACTATGCCTCTATTTAGACCACGTCTAAATAGAAATGTGGCTCAATAAATGCTCAGTTTGAGTGCAAACGTCTTATGAAATGTCAACCTTTCAATCAGTCATCTTTCTGTTTCGAGAATTAAAAGGCACACAGTAATATCTCATCGCTTGGTAACTTATAATTAGTATATTTTGCACACTTTAGTAAACTGGTTTAGGGAGCACTAATGAGATATATAATGTGTAATTATTTAGGTTTAGTGGGACAGGGTGGCGCGGGCCTGTGCGGCCTTGGGACTGAGTCTTCATACACCTCGTCATACAGGTTGGAGTTTGAGTAGACAGGCTGCGCGGCGTACAGGCTGGACCCGGCGGGCTCACCAATTTCGCTGTAGAAATTGCTGGCTGTGTCGTTGACCTCGTCGTACACGGCAGTGGCACCTCCGCGCGATGTCGACGCAAGACTGCCTCGGAAGCTATCATAATTCGAATACTGATAGTCTACATTCTGATACTTGTATGCGGAGTAATTCTTAGAATTCTCAACGCAGTCGCTAAAGTTCTTCAACTTCTCACCATCCTCTTCGTACTTCGGCACATAAATGTTCTTTTCGTAATCATTGCTCGTGTTAGCTTTCGACGGCGTTGATAGTTTGGTGTAGTAGTCTTTTGTTTCCAATATGAACTGTTGCTGTACCGGTGTGATGTCATAGTTCTTGTAGATGGGAATGTCACCGTATTTCTTATCTTCAGCGGCGTTGTTTGCCGCGGCTGAAGTGGACGGCGCGTTGTAAATGCTATCGCTATACAGGTAATCGCTGTTGTTGCTTTTAGATCTAAGATTGAGAGATTCTGAGATTCTGTCGTCTAACGACATGTCTGCTAGTGAAGCTGTAACACTGGGTGCGGTCACGTTTCGTTCTAGTGAGAGAGCGTTGTTCATGGCGTACGGTGACGGGGTGTTACCGTACGTATTGTTAGCACTGGCGGTGCTTGTAGACGGCATGTTATTGTAGATATGTGAAGTCTCCGCACTGGAAGACTGCTTGCTACTCGAGTATCTGTGAGATTCTTGTAACTGTTTGCTTATACTATTTATATTAGATTCTGTAATATCGTAGTTAGGCCTAGTTGCATTGGAGGGCCAGAATTGTGAGGTGTCGAATGGATCTGGTTGTGGAGGTGCTGGTGGTGTGCTCAGGTGTAGAGGAGTTGACAAGTTGTCGAGGGACTTAGCACCGTACATGCCGTAGTTTTGTATGTTGTATGAAGCAGAGACACTGGGTAAACTTTCTATGCTCTGTTCGCCCCAATCACTGTCGAGCCCTGTAAAAGACATGAATAATAAATCACTACATATTTTTAAAAAGGTTAGGTGTTACTTCTATGACTTAGATAATCAGTAAAAGCTCCCAATATACCACGGCCTCACAAAAACCGGCGTAAAATAAAAACAGTTTTGTGCTTCGCCGTGTGAATCCCAGAGGCCAAATCCTCCCGAGCGTACGGCGTGTAGCGTTCCGCGCGCGCCTCAAAGAGGCAATAGACCACCACAGATGGGGCCCTATAGGGCTGATGTCCAGCCGGGGTGGCGGGGTAAGCGCAATGAGGCGCCGCAACCTCGACCCAGAGCAGGAGAAGGAACAGGGGGGTTTTTAGTCAGTAAGAGTCTGACACTCCCTCCCGCCCTGGGCGGGAGAAGTCATTTGATGATTTTACCCTCACAAAAAAAGAGGTCAAATCTTTCGTCCCCTCCCCAATCCCTTAATCTCTGAAACTCTAATGTCCGGAAGGCCGGCAACGCACTCGTAACTCGTCTGGTTTAGCAGGTGTACATGGGTGGCGCCGATTGCTTACCCTCGGGAGATCAGCCCGCTCATTAACCACCCTATAACTCAACAGCATAACATAAATATATGTAACTTAATAAATAGCTTACCAATTTCTGGTACATCTATGGGCTCGTCAAGAATAGAGACCACGTTGGGACTGCTGGGGCTGGACTTCTTACTTGGCGTGCTTAGCCGAGTGGAGGGCGGGAGATCCAGGTCGATCAATATGTCTTCTTTTACTGGAATCATGATAAAACATAGGTTTATTGTTACAATGTTATCAAAATACAATGTTATTTTAATATACGTAGCATAAGCTATAAACTCATTAAGTTAAATTAGTAAATATCTTCGTCATTGTAGATTTTATTTATAAAAAAACAAGAATTCATTCGAAACATCCAACCAACAACCTTTATTATTTATAAATTTATATTTTAAACTTTATATGTTAATAATCAAAATTAAATTATAAAAAGAAAAATTTAGAATAACCATTGTACAAACATTATCTTGTAACTACATAGTAAAACACATTTTAGCTTGAATTACAGTGATAACTAAGCGATATAACATCTGGATTGATATTAATGTAATACATTACCTAATATTTTACACAAGAGTATCACTCAATGGATTGTCAAGGCAAGACAGTCATTACTAAAATTAGTAGCGTATTGAAAGTGGAAACATTCTAACAAAAGCGACAAAGTATTGTCCCCCCTATTGTATCATACACAAAATAAAACAGCTTAAAAATCCCCCAGTTTCCTTCACACTATTTGTAGCCTAAATTCACTAGGGATAGTGTACCTTCCCAACAGTAGAGAATTATACAAATCGGTCAATGCGTCACCAGCGAGGATTTCATTTTTAGTTATTTACTTTACTTACTTTTTCAATTATTATTTTTATTTAACCTACAAACCTACTGTGAACCACGAATAATTCAAGACCTAAATTAGTCAAATCGGTAAAGGCATTGTAGTGTTATAACATAACAATGAAAAGTGGCTTTGATTTTTAATTTAGATATACGTAATCAGACGTTCAGAAGCCGGTGAAAATAATGCTCAAAGTTTCGGTTACATAAATACATCCCAAGCTTATAAAAGCATGTTAAAAAAAAGAATCTAAATAAAGTAAAAGAAAAGAAATGCATACATTCTGATCATCCGTTATCGTCAATACAATAACAGCAATTTACACTGTTCACTCAATGATATACGTACGTAATTTCAATTAGTCATGTCCACAATAAAACTGTGAGACGCAAAATGCGCTGCGTACTCTCGCGAAATGTATCAACATACTGAGACTAACAATGCGTGAGTATCAGCAATTCGAGGGTCGCGAGTCCTGTCATTGGACTTGTTGTTCAATTCACTGTGATATGGTCACACAATTGATATGTTGACCATACGTTTAGCGAGTGACGTCACTGAAGAAACTACCGACTATTTGCGTGCGGTATAGATAGACTATTTTTTTACGAAGGAGATATAACATCTACATTAACTTTTCAACTAAACCGATTAAAACAATGTAACGAAAATGAATTGTGAAATTCATTAAAAAATAATTCTTCTCTATTGGAATCTACACTTTGAAACGAGTGTAATAGTTTATGTATAATAGCTTCAATAGAGGAGAGACTGACATACTGACACACAAAGTTGAACTTTTTGCTATTTATTTTTTGATTGACGTTCAAAAGTGCTTGCAGTTGTCTGTATTAAATGAAATATTTGACTTTGATTTGACTTACACAAAAATTGAAATATGTTATCAAAGTAGTTTTAAAGTAGTCACCGCTCTAGGAGCTTGGTATTAATGATTAGCATATTAGTCATTCTCGTGCTCCGTTTAATGCGTATGATATCGATTCAATCTGCATTTGAATATAGAATAGATTACAGTACTTAAACAGAAACCTCTTTGTAATAGAGTTCATATTGTATACAGAGAACTCAGAGAAGTTTCCTTCTGTGGGTAAAATAGTAAGCTCTTTGTTATAACAGTCTTTCTTAATGTGGACAATGTATGAAAGCCTCAATGCTAAGACAGCCGATATGAGAGTGATTTTATAAGATGCTTACTTAATTATATTTTTTTCGTTCATTAAATCTTTTTTACTTTTGATGAGGGCCGTTGTCGTGGTGGCCCGGAGGGTAAAGCTACAAGTACCAATGTGACTTTTCCGAGAGTTATATACTCTCTACGATTATTAAGACACCACTGACGTATGGAAAAGAAAAACATCGGGTGGTCACTGAGACTTATACTTTCTTATTATAAGTTTACAATCGCCAATTCGCTTTGAGAAAGCGTGATGACGAATGCTCAAACCTTCTCCGTGTGGTAAAAGGCCTTTACTCAGCAAGTGGGCTCTTATAGGCTAATGATTAGTGATTATGTGGACCGTAGACGAAATAAGTTTGGAAACGTCTTGCTTTGAGTAACTGTGCATTCTTTTATACTTTGTTAGATATAGTAATATAAACCGACTTGTCCATACCTTGATTGAGACTCTTGGAATGTGCGTCCCTAGTGTGTCGGGCGGCTCGTTCCTGTGCGAGGGTGGCGACGCGGTCGTTGGTGAGTTTGTTGTAGTTGAAGTGTTTGCTGCCAGTGTTCCCGCCGCGCGTCGTCGACGGCTGCGTCGATTCTATCGTACGACGCTTTCGCAATACCACCGCCATGTCGTCCGACACGCCGTTCGATGATGATGTATTCGATGTCGCTTGGGCTGGAAATAATAATGTTTGTTATAGCTTTCGCAGTGCGTTTTGTACAGGCGGTTCTAATTCATTAATTAATTTTTGTGTTTAGGTTAGACAAAATTAATAACACGGTAGTGCATCGAATAAAAATGGGTGTTACAATACTTGTTGCTAATTTTTAAAGTATTTAAGTCTAGCTTTATGCATTAAACAAAAATTTCAAAGCAAAGGTCCTTCTTTCTTATCGCCGCCGCCGTAAGCAAACTTCTTATTAAATTTATAAATGAAATATATATTTATGAATTTCAACGTAAATGACATGTAGAAAATGATCTTGTGTTTTTTTAATATTTGACTGCACGGTTGGCGCGGTGGCTGGGCAAACGGCTGCCGCTCAACGTGTCGCGGTTTCGATTCCCGTGAACATGTCTGGAACAACTCATTGTGGATCACACAAAGAGTTGTTCCTGGTCTGGGTGTGATGTGTATGTTTGTAAACGCACCCACGCCACAGAGAGAAAGTCCTAGAGTGGTGGCTAAGTTTAAAATATATATATACAATCTTTTTATTCATGTTCTTGCCATCTTATGTTTTAGATACATTTCAGTAAGTATATATCTATACTATTACGCAAAAAACACACACTTAACTTGAATCTCTGTCATTGAAATACGTAAAACTAATATTACGTCATACGTAAACATTTCAACAAGAACATTTTAAACGCAGCGTTGAATTGCAGAGTACACAGCCACACACAAATACGCTGCAGATGCACATTGAAAAAATAAATAAATTGACTTTGTATCCGTCACATGTGTTTATTGCTATATAGATACCTACATAGACAGTATCTCTATATCAGTTTAAATACAGACTTCAAAGTAAATAAGATAGGATTCGAATACAAAATTAAGTGTGGAAGAGCCATGCTTCGGCACGAATGGGTCGGGTCGACCAGAATGATACAACGGCTTCAAAAAAAACCGGCGTGAAACAAACACAGCGTTATGATCCATCGTGTGAGTAAGGTTACCGAAGGCCCTATCATTTCCCTCCCCAAATCCAAAAATCCAACAACCTAATCAAAGTAAAAAAAGTACGATTTTTTGTTTGCCATTATTCTTACTGATTGGGTTAATTTAATGTGTTTTCCACTTTACCAAGAAGTGCCTTGTATTGTGGTTGCGTTTCACAAAAATATTTCGGAGAATCCTCCTCTTATATTAATATTTAAGCCCATTAAGTGCGTACCTATTATAAGATTTACATATTTTGTATCATATTGATAAAAGTTAGAAATACCGATACGTGTAGCGTGTTCAGGTGTGACATGTTTGAACAAGTCACACAGACTTCGTTACTCGGAGGTGGTAAAATATTCACTTAGTCATAGATTAGCGATTCACATTGCTAAGTGCGTCTTACACGACAATGTTACCTATGTTGAACGCTGCCATTTACATATATGTAACTTCTCGAGAATTTCTGCATCAATATGTTTTAATAACCACGTTATTTATGTGTGCTATTTATCCTATTATATTTGAATATAACTGTGTATGTTTATTTGCATATTTTCTGTATATGTATCCGCGTAGAAAATGAAATACAAAAAGCGCATTGGTCAACAACGCCTGGACCAATTTTGTCAATATTTTTTTGTGTTTGTAGGTTTGTGTTGACAGGATAATATTATGTTGATTTGTTTTTTTGCAAGGTTAGGGCCCTTTTTTGTTCATGTACTGCTTAGTCGGACACGCCCGTTAGTTTGAAATAATTATGAGATTTCTATGGTTTATAATATAATACATTTTTCTACCTATTACAGGAGTACAAAAACCCTATTCTCAGTTATACATAAGTACATACTTACTGCTTAAAATAACAAGTTGGAAAATGATAGAAAAATACCGCGGCTATAATGGCCTAAATATATACTTTTAGTTACTACATGGTAATACTAATGACAACGACAACCAATAATACCAATTATTTACTAAATCAATAAATATAAAAGGGAATGTCAGTAAGAAGAACCAAATCTTATATTTGTATCATCCATTCCATACTCATCTTACAATTAAAATAGCAAACTTCATTGAGTATTTAGTACAACCCGCGATGTTTATAATTACCGACGTGTAATGAAGAACAATACAGTAATTACATCACAGACCGTGATTCGCACACAACTGTAGTGCTGTGCAATAGTTTTACTTTCTTTGGCAAAAGTAAAAGTATAATACGGCACACACGCATACATCCGTATTTTAAAAGTGAACGTGTTTACTAATACATATAGCTGCCTACCTAATGAAGCATATTACATTATTTAATTCAAATGTTATAATATGCCCGACGGATTCTACCAATATGTCTCTTTCCAATCTACGAATATGTACCTAGGTACGGTCAGCTGCAGAGAAATGGGACCCCCCCATCCCCCCTGAAGTACTAATATGTATGCGCTATCTGCATAGGGGGATCCTTTTCTCTGCAGGGAGGATGCGACCAATGCTTCGGATATACCCGCGCCTCCGAAACATGGGTAAACGGAAAATCACCGGTTTTGTTTTTAGACAGTAAGAGTCTGACAGTACCCTTCGCCCTTTCCCGAGGACGGTGGGTCTACCCGTGGATTTTTTAACCCGATATAAAAAAGAGAATATGTATAAGATTTATTTTGATATCAATGATGACACCATAAAATGAATGTAAGTATTGTAAATAAAACTATGAGTGTAAGCCATAACATTAAAAGAAAGTATGCAAAGGAGTTTAAACAAGTGAAAAAAATCGAAAATTGTTTAGTTTGTTAAGTAATATGTAATAATTAGTATTGTGCTTCTTAATAGGATAGAGGCTAACTATCGACTGACTACAGCTGATAATCGTCGCCCAAGGAACCGTAAGATCAGAGAAGTTACAAGTGCGTTGCCGGCCTTGAAATTACATGCAGTTACGTTTACAATATGTAGTTTAGATCTCCATCTAATATTATAAAGAGGTAAAATTTGTAAGTTTGTATGTTTATAAGTTTGTATGTAGGGGTAATCTTTGGAACCGATGATCGGATTGTCAAAATTCTTTCACTGATAGATAGCTATAACATTCCTGAGTGGCTATAAAACATCACGCTACGATCAAATGGAGCCGAGCAGCGGGTGAAACCGCGCGAGAGAGCTAGTAATGTTATAAAGCAGGGTACTTACCTCTTTGTGTAGGTGTCAACGTCTGCGATTTCTTAACTGCCTGATTGTTTTTAGCACTCTTCAATCCAACTGTAACTAATGTGCTAAAACAATAAATTAAAACTTAATTAATATTTTGAGCAACGTGTGGCAGGGTCGATTTCCGCACGGATCAACTCTTTGTGTGCTCTACAAATTGTTGTTTCAGGTCTGGGTAGGATGTGTATGTAGCATTTATATGTTTTTAAACGCACCTACAACAAATGAATCAAACTAGTTAGGGGCAACCCTTAAAAATATCTTATTCTTACGTTGAATTTTTACTTAAAGTTAAGTTAAGACTTCAATTTAAGTTAATCATTAGAGTTTCATATGATGTATATTCGAATTTGAAAAGTGTGATAGTATAGACCGCTATTCTAAAATTAAAATCTTACCAAGAAAGTATTAAGAAAACGAGATTTTTGAAATGAAAGTCAATGAGCATACCTTGGAAACAGTCCTACTTCTAAAGTCCGTTGGTTCTGCCCCTTCCACCAGTGGAGCTCGGGTCGTTTGTCAATCAGTATGATAGCGTCACCAGCGTCGATGGTCATCTTGCCCGGTCGCCGGTAACTGTTGCAGAGAAATTATAAACAATCTATTTCGTGAGAGCTATGCGTGAGAAGCGCTAACAATGACTAACGTAGCGTTGTCGTGACCATTTATGATATTACTAGTTATTCTAATTACTTTACTATCTTTAGTATTTCGCAAAAAATAATTTACGTTTTACATCCAATACGAAAGTGGTGTAAAATTACTGTTTTATTGGTAAGTACAAAAAAAATTTCAAATATGATAATTATGTTCCAGATTGTATTTATCTGTTCAAAACTTCGTAAAAAACAAAACGAGGACTATAGATACTGCTTTCTAGAAGCAAGGTCAAAAATAATTGCGTGACTTCCTATTGCTTACCTGAGCGCAGCAATAGCTGTTTCGAACTTGTTGGTCTCGATGTACCGCTGTATGCCGGCGAAGGTCGGTCGCTCCTTAGGGTTGAGGTCCCAGCACTGCATCATCAGCATGTACACGTCAGGCGGACAGGCGTTCGGTGCCGACAACCTTTGACCTTCACGCATTATTAGTCGCAGTATCTCCGAACCGTTCAAACCTGAAGGAGGTCAATAACTATTCATATAAGTAATCAATATTACACATGCATAGCACATCCAATTTTATTGCTAGCAACCAAAAAACCCAGTTCATGATACAAACGTGATTGACGCTTTACTGTAAAGTCGAACAATAGATTCATAAATCAATGTTACCGATGTTGATCTACACTTTATTTTGCATAGAAAGGATGAAAGAAAATGAAAATAAATCGAAGAAGATTTTTATCAATGGGGAAAGCATTAGTCATGCTTGCGTAGGTACAAATCAAATACACTCAAAATGTGTGAATGTGATTTGATAAAAATACTGGCTAATATTGGATCTATCCTCATTGCAATACAGAACCTACACAATCGAAAAAGACGTATAAACAGACATATTCTGTATGAAGCAATATTTCTGTGCAATTGTGCATTTTATTACAAGAATGTATACTGAATTATTTACACCTTTCACTCGCTTGGCATAACATTCAAACAATAGAGATATAAACAAAAATCTTTTGAATGTATGAGAAAGTAATAGTGGGAATTTAAATGCACTGCTTACCTATCCAGGGTTCCTCTCCGAAGGTGTACATTTCCCAGAGAGCGACAGCGAACATCCAGACATCGGATGCGTGGGAGAACTGTCGACTGCGCAGCGACTCCGGCGCGCACCACGGGAACGGCACGCGCCGACCCTCACTCATCACGTAACAATCGTCCGCGTCCGGTAACGCGCGCATTAGACCAAAGTCACCTATTTTTACCTAAAAAGAAACATTTTGCTACATAAAATCTGGATCAATTACCTATACAGGTACTTTAGTTTTCTTACTAGATATATACATAGTATATCTTATATACATAAAATATGGTTCGTGTATGGTTTGTTATTCAACTGCGCAGTTGACGCGGTAACTGGTGAACCAGCCGCCGTGCAAGGCGTTGGTGATTCGATTCCCGCGTGAAACTCTTTGTGTGATCCACAAATTGTTGTTTTTAGGTCTGAGTGTATGACACTGTATGTTTACATATGCATGATCATTAGAAATATATATGATGCTTCGGGGTTGTGAAGAGGTTTTTTATAGATAACTTTCAATGCAGAAAATTGTTAAACTTAATGCTTAAGTACCGTGCATTTTTAAAGTTAAATAAACATAGTTGGAGTTTTGTGTAATTTTACTGCTTTCAATGTTATCATTGCCAATCCCACATATTAGTAGATACTTAGGTACATAACAGCCAATATTTAGTTACACAAACTATATTTGAGTTGATAAGCACAACACTGTTAGGATAGGCTGCCCATCCCATTACACAGCTTAGTCACCATTTCAAAGATATTCCATAATGAATAAATAGCTATTAGTCACATATTAAAGTTAACTCACCAAATCCACACTGGACAATAAAATATTCCTGCAGGCAAGATCTCTGTGCAAAAACCTGTGCTTCTCCAAATGTGCCATTCCCGATGCTACTTGTTCTGACCATTTGTAGATGTAGTTCAATGACACTTTGCCATTCTGAGCAACAATATAATCTAGTAGAGAGCCCATAGCTGCTAGCTCACACACCATCATCAATGGATGGAACACTACGCCATGCAGTTTGATGAGATTGGGATGTTTCAAACTATGCATGGCTTCCACTTCTCTCCTGAAGTCATCATAGATGCCTGGCTGTGAGAATGCATCTGCCTTTAAAACCTTAACTGCTACAGGAACTGTTTGAGACGGGTGTTCAGACACCCTCCATTCTCCCCGCTTTACAACACCAAATGATCCATTACCAATCTCACTGTGTAATCTGTAAATAAATTTGCATATGAGATATCAAATATTAAAATTTCTCCTGAGATGATATTCACATCACATTGCTGTGTTTAACATTTATTCATAACATTAAATATTTTATAAAATATCACAACAACACAACTATACAAATAATAATAACATAATCTGGAAGCCATGTAAGACTTCTTTGTACATTTCATATTATGTATTGCCATTGTTTTTTTTTTAGTTTATTTAATTAACATAAACCTCGTTACTGATATAGAACTAGGCAAGATGCATGAGCAAAACTTCCTAGTAGTAGTAGTAGTAGTAGTAGTAGTAGGCCTTTTTCAGTTAACTTACTCTTCACATTCTAACATGATTTTCATTTCATAACATAAAATCCCATCTCTTAGTACTAGACCTCTATTCAAATCTAAAATGTGTTGTACACATTACCGAGTTTAGCAAAGAACCTTACATTCTTATAAGAAAACTATTTTGTATGACTCATTAGTAATAATAGACCAATAAGATTTCAAGTGTCATAGCAGCATTAAGCTGCCTATCTATATAAAATCTATAGGAAAATGAATTGACCATCATTTTCCTTATTGCTAATCATTCTTCCAAAGTGTACAAGGTCAGTACTCACATAATATCCTTCTCAAGTATAATACAAGTTGTTCTTGAGTCAGCTTGTGGGGTCCTCACTGCTAAATCAGTTTTCTCCTTGGAAACTGAGCTTGATGATGAACCAAATAGTTTGTTCCAAAACTTCCTGTTCCATAACTGTAACTTCTTTTTCCTGACAGCATCAAATAGCCTGCGCACCCCAGGCTTACTGATACCAAGCTTCTCAAGGTCTTCAGCATGCACATAGTCAAAATGTGCTAGTCTTGTGATCTAAAACATAAACAATGGCAAATAAGAGATCTATATATTATTAGAGTTCAACAATATGTTCTTAACCAATTAGAATGTTTGGATAAATTAAATTTACAGTTCACTTTTGAAAACAAGCGAAAACATTAATTCATAATAAACTATTTCATACCTGCAACTGGTCTCTGATGGGTAAATAAAATTGTTCAAGCTGAACATTCTGTAGAATTTCACAGAGCCAATCTGTCCCAGAATCCATCGTAAATTATACTTCACTACAATTTGGACAAACATAAAATAAACGCATCTCGAGCAGGAAGTTGTCGTTCGTTGCAAAGGATGTGTCCGATGGCTGTTACTGCACAAACCAGAATAATTATGGTTGCAAGTTTTTATAGAAGTTCTAGGAAATGTATGATGACAGCAAACCACATTCTTTCATCACATGCAATTAGAAGATAGCATAGGAGCAAATGCTTACTTTATGTTGTATAAATTCACATCTAAGAAAAAAATATTATAAATAAGATTGAGACTCGATTGAGACACCTAAATTCATATTTACCCGTGAATGACAGTTGTTACTTTTCTTCTGAAACGTAGAGTAAGCCTTTGATTTTTTTCACATATGGCAATGCTTTGTAATAATCGACTAAACAAGGGATAACATACAAAAAATATTAAAAATATTTCAAATTATAATATTAACATCAAAATAACAATTAAATTACATCAATGATAAAATAACAAAACATTTTTACAAGTTCATGAAACGTTCCAAGTTATATTAGTTTATCTGTGGTAATACTTATAAGCGTTAATTTTAAAATTAAAACCAAAATCAAGCCAGACGTAGAATTGAAAATAAAGTGCTTGATATTTCAGTAGCTTTTACAATACATTTTTATATTAAGATGCTGACCGATAAACAGTTTGATAAATAAAAAGTTATAATCGGTTATTCATATAAAGACGAACACGGCGGACTAATCATGGCACTGCAATGTAACTTGGAGACTTTATTGGATGAAAACATATCTGATGTGAAATTAGTAACGTTTGGGAGCATTCCAGTAGACACAGCTGTCGAGAAAACAATTACCATTGAAAATAAAACAGATGTAAGTTAACTTGCTAGAGCTGCACAAATGCCTACCTAACTATTATTAGGTACAAACCAATACCTTCAAACGCTCGAAAAAGAAAAATAACTACCTACCTAGTGTTTCAATCTTCCAGACGTGACATTCCCCTCCTCCATAGAACTAAGGTCCATAGAACAGAGTACCTACATATTTGTGGTTATTTTACAGAAAGGCCTAACATACAGAGTGTCAAATATCTATATTCTGAACAGCGTGGATCGTGTGTTCAAAATATCCATTACATCGAGCTATGTAAAGCCGGGCGAGGCTGCCCGGATCCGGATTGTGTTCAAGCCCAACATTGTGGGACAATCGTTCACTGAATATTTCCTTGTGGATGACACCAGTGGCAATACTTACAGGCTGACCGTTACTGGAAAAAGTTATGGTAAACTTTATTTTTTATTTAAAAAAATTGCAGTAGCCGCTTTTTGATTTTCTCCTATGTCGTGGGAACGTTTTACAAACGAAACAACAATTTGTGAATAGCACAAAGTGTTGTTTCGTGCGGAAAACGAATCCACGACACGTTGCACAGTAGCCAGTTGCCCAGCCACTACGCCACCCTTCGATCACTAATAAAGAATTCGATCACTTCGATCACTAATAATAATTCTTTATTAGTGATCGATGACGCCACCTATGTAATTCTGCATACTACATAGTTCCAACTCTTTGTTTGAGAACAGTCGGCGATTTTAGGCTTAAGTCTCTTAAATCTCTTCATTGATGAGAGTCGAAGAATTTTTGTACTAGTCATGTTCGTAGTTTCCTTTTCCAAGAATTTCTGCGTAGGACTTCAGTCATCTAGATAGTTTACACACAAACTGTCCTTTTATAGGTCCAAGGGTAAAGCTCGATAAAAAGAAACTGGTCTTTACAATTTGTAAAAACGTCACAGAACAAAGGAAAGAGGTGATAAATATTGTGAACAAATCATCCGTGGATACGACGTACCAGTGGTATATGCCTGCTTCTGGTCAGGGATGTTTTCAAGTAAGACTGTTATTGGAATCTTTAAATAAAAGTATTCGTTTATATGTAAATAATGGGTACTTATTTACAACTTTCGGTTAGATATCGACAGGTAACTGCGGTCTCATCAGAGCTTTCGAAACTATAACAACTACAGTTGTGTTTACTGGAATACCTCTTGGAATATATACTGGAGAGCTGGTCTGTCTGGTCCTTCATCAGGTAAGTCACTGTTCTCTCAATGTATTCAAACTTATCGAGGTTGGTTAGTTGGTTATGATACGATTTAGACCAACCGGCTCGCGTAGCGCCGCATTGGAATGGAACCGTATGCTGCCGCGGCAGCCGATCGTGTCCGATAGAGCCGTTAACTGCTGCCGCGGCAGCCAACAGCGTCCACTGGAATCCGTATGCACTCCAAGCGCTCAGATCAGATGTATTGCTCACATTGCACCGCGAAGACAGACCTAAAGTGAGATTTTATTTAAAAATGTGATCTTTGGGTCCACCCCAACCTGTTGGTTCTCAGCTAAAATTACTGCACCTAACCATATAGACATAGCCCTTTACTAGGACAACCGCGCAGCTGTGATTGTAGTCCACCTGAAGAACCTACTTATTCTAAAGTTATTTTTTTTTTAAAGTGTGGATCTAAATAGTTTTAACTCGAAGTGTGGTTTTTTTATAACTGCCGAGCCGCTCAGTCTAGCATCTGGATAGATGAGCGAAAGAATTAAATACATCTGCTAGATTGGTTCCAATAAATTTACCGTTCATATCGCTTTTGTGACTGACGATTCGTGAGTTGAGAACAACAGATCTAAATACCTACGTACATACAACACTTAGACCAGCATGGCAGTTTTGTCGCGTCAATCCTTAAATGACTCGATAAGATAAACGGTGCAATTTTCCCGACGATTGTGATGAATCCCATTTGGTCCTATTGCTTTATTGTCCTTAGGTACGATTAACGCAGCTAACGACTAATTTCAGCATCCCTTGTTCTTGAACGTATTTGCGACTGTGGTTTTGCCAGGAAACCCATTACTGAGTATCCGAGAACATGTATTTGAGAAAAATTGGAAACAGAAGTCTCGTTCCGTACATTTAATGGAGAATAGTCTTAATAGATTGAATTACATACCATCAGCTTCGGTGTTTGAAAGATACCTTGACTTCGGTACGGGCAGTGTTACGGATATCACAAGGAACATATCGCAAACAATTTGCGTCACTAATCATGAAGACGAAGAAGGCTATATACAATGGATGCCAGGTTTGATTTTTTTATCAGATAGGTCGGTAAAAGACCAGACAGTTTACCTAATAGTAAAAAATCAGCGCCGCCCAGGGACAATCGTAATACTAACGGAGTTACCAGTGTTTTGATAGTTATTAGGGGCCTATAGATAGCGGTTTTGGGGATTGAGAATGGGAAGAGGGAAAGATTCGGACTACGGTAACTTTTGTGACAATGTTTCATGCCGATATAAGGGTTTATTGATATCTTGTGCTTAAAAATAGTAAAGTATGCTTACAAACCTCATGGTATCTATGGTATAACAGCACTCATAAGTTAATCCAGTAATATACAAATACTAAAACATACAAATTTTACTTACGTATACCTAAGTAAATAAAAAGCCAACATTTTCAGATCCTGATAACATATTCTTGGTTGACCCTATCGCCTCTGTTGTACCTCCAAATGAATCACGACTGTTTACCGTCAGGTTTCGGTATGTATGGTCTTTGTTGATAAGTATTCTTATACCTCTTTAAAATAACTTTGGCATACCTATTGTTTTTTATTACCTATTGTCAGGCCTAAAATTGAGAATGAAGTGTATGGTTACCTAATGTGTGGAGACTACCAAGTTAAGAAGTTTATGGATATCACTGATGAGCCAAGAATAAAACACTCACTGTTCCGGATTCCGTGTACGGGCAATACGTGGATGCCTTGCACAGAATGGATGACCGAATGGGATTGTCCCTCAGAGGTATTCATGTCGAACTAATAGAAAAGTCTTTGCTGACGTTTAATGTTTGTAGTATCTACCATCTGCTGTTTTGTCTAGGTAATTCTACCCCCAACAGTACCAACCAGAACCACTTTCGCAAATTTCATGCTATCAAACAAGTTTGAGATTCCTATGCATTTTAAATTCGATCCACCATATGGAACGTAAGTATCTGATGTTCAGCCGTTTTAGAGATTTTTAGTCTTGTCTAGTTGACCAGAAACCTGACTTCTGACCTGGCTATACTAGTATAGCCAGAAGCATGCACCAATTGGTGCTTTATCATAACTTTGAATTCTTTAAAGGAATTTTGTAGTAATGCCAGTTTGTGGAATCGTTCCGAGCCGCGGATGGCAGATTATTTCAGTAGCTTTGGAACCAAAGTGTTTTGGAGATTACTGCGAAGCGTGGGACCTAATTATTAACAAGGTTCAAAAGGTTAGTTTACTATTGACTTTTTAGATCGTTTACCTTGAAACTTTATTTTTGAGTGACCTCTTTTCAGTCGGCGGTAGCCTGCTGCCATAACTGATAAAGTTACTGACAGCGTTTTTATGCATAAGCATCCTTTTTTTTGAAGGGGCCAATTATCAAATGACTCGCCCAGGGTGAGGTGAGAGGGAGTGTCAGATTCTTAATGACTAAAAACCACCTCGTTCCTTTTCCTGCTCCAGGCCGGGGCTGTAGTACCTTATTGCGCTTGACCCGCAACCGCAGATGTATAGACATCCTGAATCATACGTTTTTGTTTTGTCACGTTGTCACATTCAAATTTCCAACAACGGTCGGTTGAATAGGATTTCAAAAATACTTTATTTCTTCAAAATACAGATATCCTTGTTCAGAAAGGTATCTATCGTTTAATTTGTAACTTCAAACAGACATGTATCAGCTTCACGGGTAATGCAGAAATGAGTCAAGTGGATGTAATGTCCCACGGTTACCACCCGGCAACGCATGCGATGCTCGAGTTCCCACCTACGATCACTGGTTGCACCAACTACTGCACTTCATACCTTCACAACCTCACCAGGATGGATATGCAGTATGTACATTATACTTATTTAACATACATTACTACAACTAGCCACTCTTGCGCGGTTTCACCCGCTATATTATTTTATAGCCTAATAGCCTTCTTCGATAAATGGACTAACGAAACTAAAAAGAATCGTTCACTTCTAACCAGTAGTTCTGGAGATTAGCGCCTTCATACAAACAAAATTTTCAGCTTCATATTTGTATAAACATATATAGAATTGTAATATATCTGTGTAAAGCAACATTTTCTTTTAGTATAAGGATACTGTCCAATGTCGACTGGTTGGGAGCTGATGACTGCGGATCTATAATTCTTCCACCAAAAGAAATCGTACATTATCACTGGTGGTTTTTCCCGAAAATACCTGACAAAGTATATGAAACAACTATAACTTTAAGTTGTGTCTGTTTGATAAAAGGACAGTGAGTTTTTTTATATATTTTCGATTAGTGCACTTTACAGTTACATTTAAATAAATAACTTAATATTATTTTAGGGCCGTCGGGGAACCGACTGAAGTTTTCATTGCCATTTCTGGCTTCTCCGAATTTCCTGATTTGAGGGTAAGTAAAGTAAATAATATAACACTGAACAAATTTTATAGACATCTCTTCTAACTGTTTTTTTGCGGCCCGTGCAGATATTGCCAAAGGACTATAATCTCCAAGAGATAGTTGTGGGAGAAAGCTTTACGTTTCCCGTTACCCTGTACAACAATAGCTCTTGTTACTTCACGTCTAAGTTGTGTTACACCATCGAAGGTATGGGAGATGACTACACAGGCGATAGACTTGAAATCGATTCATCAGTGGTGAGTTTCCTAAAAATTTTATGGTTCGTAGGATTGTTTTATGTGATAGGACGTCAAACGAGCAGACGGATTACCTGATGGTAAGCAATTAGCACCGCCCATGGACATTCACAACAACGGAAGAGTCACGAGTTCGTTGGCGACCTTTGGGGATTGAATTTTGCAGGTTTTGGGGATTAGGGAAGGGGAATGATTAGGATCGGGATTGGGGGAAGAGAGAAACAATCTCAGATATTCAGCTTTTTCCTTAAATTTTAATACAGAACAGTTTAAAACCATCGAATCACTGCGAAGTTAAAATGACGGTGACTCCTGACGGAGCCGGATCGCGGAGACTTCGTATCAAGTATACTGTCCTTTACCGCACTGAGTTTAATGAAGTTGAGGAGGTACAGCCATTGAAAACGAAGATTTGTACCATTTATTATGATGGAATTTATCCTACAATTAAGGTAAGTATTAAGAGATGGTAGTTAGTAGTTCTGCCTCAACGATGTGCAGGCAATCCTTTGGGGTCACGAGGCGCCCACCTAATAGACTTCAGGGAAGACGGCGGCACAGTGGTCATGTGCCCCGTGCACAGCGAGGTCGTAGGTTTTGATAGGAATGTGTCGTAATAGGCGTTGCACTGCAGGAAATCTAGAGTTGGTCTATTAAGAGGTCCCGGTATCCCTTACAGGTGTAGATGGTGGTCACCGGGGAGATTTTAGGCAAAAATCCAACACTGCCTAGTCTTATTTTCCCAAAAGCTTGGCGCATTTAGAAGGTTTACCTATACCCCAATCCTTATACCATCCTTTTTCGCATGTGAATCAGAAACGGAGTTGAAGATCAATCGAGATAGGTACCAAATTGATGGTAGATAATGTTTGCAGGTGAAGCGTACACTATCAATCAAATGTCCTGTAATTCTGAGCAATCACTGCGTGTGGAACATCGTCAACGTTGAAGAGTACGTAAGAATTTCTTTTTTTTGAAGCATAGGTGCTTACTTATTAATGTGAGTTTTCCATTTTAGAAAGGTTCAACACTTGCGAAAATAAACTGAACATTTGATATCGGCAAAAGGTTTACCGTCTCACTAATGGATTGAATGCCATATTTATACGTAGCTTTTAACCGCTTACAGCAGAAAAAAAATTCTCAACTTAACACCAAAAAATTCCTCATGTACGACTAGTTATAGTCCATTTTGAGGAGCTAGAAGATCTTATTTTTTTATACAGACTTAATTGTTTCTAGACTAAATCAGGCTTTTGAGGAATGTCGACCGAACAATCCAATCGGTGTTAACATTTACGCTCCTGATCTATGTGTCCGAACTGACCACGTTGAGTTGGTATTCGTCATGGGTTGTGTGTACCAAGTTCCTGTACCATGGAGTCTCCGCAGAGAGCAAATTTGTGACTGTGATATGATACAAGTGAAAATAGCAACATCGAAGTACGAAATGAGACACACTTGCGAGCATAGGGAGTTGGTGGAGTTATACCCCTCAAGCGGAATTGTTTCGGTAATCTATTGACTATTTAATTTCGTCAAGTAAAACATTAGGCCTTAACGGAGTAGGCAGTCTATAATTAACGTATTTTTTTTAGCCTGATAACCCTAACCTGCTTCATCTAAAATTCACCTACACAAGTAGAGGGTTGAATACTTTGTGTTATGTAATGACGTTGCCGAATCAAAGAACAATTTATATATATGTACATATTTACGCGTATCTGAGCACACGTGGCTTGCTGACGCCACTGCGTCGTCCCGTGGGAGTGGACGATTATTTGGCGGTGCTGGACTGTGGTAGAGTGCCTATTAATAATTTGGATCCTGTTATAAGGGTGAGTGGTTTTTACTTTTTTTTTATGGGATAAGTCGGCAAACGACCAGATGGATTACCAATCGGCTCCGCCGCGACATCCGCAGCACCAAAGGAGTAGATTATGCATTAGATTATTACGTTGTTATGGTCATAAGATAGTTCTACACTTGTCCTGGTCGAAAATGGAAACATGGCATTTTATAAACTGTGTCTCGGTTGCGTCACTTTATATTTTGGAGAAACGACTTCCCACGAAAAGGTTTAAAAAAGATGATGGTTTTTTAATGTAAATTTTAGATCGTATGGTTATACAATCCCACTGAAGTGTTCACCACTTGGCGGCTACTTCGCGGTAACACTATCCCTGATTCTGTGATTCGTTGTTTGCTCTACTTCGCCGAAGTACCACCCCTTGGGAAACTAGCCATACCATTCGCTTTTATGCCCACGGAAATGATTGATTATGAGGTAAGACCAAAATTAATCTATAATTAAAAAAATTGGGAAAGTAGTCCAAGCGAAATTCTGAATTTTATACGAGGATATCCAGAAGACTCTTGTGAGTCGTGGTGGCCTGGAGGTTCCATATCCACTTCTCGTGCACGAAGGTTCACGAGGCGGGTTCGAAACCTGGCAGGAACCAATGCGACTTTTTCCTAGATGTACTTTCTATGATTATTTAGACACCACTGTCATACGGTGAAGAAGACGTCGTTAGGAAACTTGGACTTATAAGTTTGAAATCGTTTGACATCCATCGTTGCAAGCGTTGTAATTAATGATCAAACCTTTTCCGTGGGAGAGGGCCTTTGCTCATGAGTGGTACTTATAGGCTGACGTTGGGATAACATTGATGAAGAAGCTGGTGATGATGATGGGGCAAAGTTTTAAACAGCTTTTTCATTGTTACCGAGCAACCGAAGCTTTGTTTACAAAGCGTTTGTGTAGTCGAAGTTTACATAGTTCACCGGCTGCGCTTCTCCTATAGGTCGGAGCGTGATGTTTATAAAATACACAAATAGACTATCAAAACTAGAATAATTGTTAAAATTGAACCAGTTGTTTTGGATATTAGAGCGTTCAAACAAACAAACCAACTCTTAAGGTTTATTATATTAGTATAGATCATTATAAAATTGTTTAGGTAGTATTCCTATGTTCCTTCGGCTATGAAAATGAAAAGATCCTAGTGAAAGGGATGGGAGGTCTGCCGAACTGTATCGAGACTAGATTGGACATTCCATTCCATATTGAACGAGTGATCAGAGAGGCTCACAGGCAAGATGTGGTAAGAAATATCAACATAAAAACTTTTATGAGACATAATGATAATTAATTATGTTTAACGGTTTACTAGTTTTAATGTTTTTGTTGTGAAACATTTGCTCCATCCTATGCCCCGCAATGCTATTCTTGAATATAAGCCCCTCGCGTGATTTGAAACCAGACGGGTTAAACTGTTACTGTTGAAACGTAGGTACTATATTTATTAATTATTATTATAATAAAGTTTTTTTATAAACTGTTTCTTAAATGTCCTAAACATGCTATGCCCTAAATATAAAACCGTTTCCACGGTTAATGTTACCCGTAAGTACCTAGATATAGAAATATGCCATTGATTGAGATAATTATTTCATCGCTTATTCTAAGTCGAAAGTTATGTTGTTGTAATATTTTCAACTTTTGCCTGCGAAAATCAGTCAAAAATGATTTTTAATAATACGGGCATCGATCAAAAGTACCTAGTTTTTGCAGTCGAAGTGGTTTTGACTGGTTGACTAAATACGACATAAAACTTTCTGCTCAGGTATATCTCTCAATGGAACACTTGACACTACCAGTTATGCCGACGCACTCCTTGTCTAGAGATATAATAAGTATCTGCAACGACACTGACCACATCATGAGGTTCATTTGGCTACCGTGAGTTAGAGAAAATTGTATTATTTATTTTCTTTGGACATAATTTCAGATGGAAATAACGTAGTTTTGATTTTTATACTATTAAGCAAGGCTGTAGGGAGGTCCGTAACCGTTACCGAAACTACCTGGCATCCGATATAAAAAAATATCCGTAACCGCAACCGAATCCGAAATAAAAGTTTCGGATAGTATCGGATAGAGGCGGAGCCTAATTGAGACACGTTATGACTAGTTGTTTCGATTGGCCGGACCGGCCGGCCGCAGCCGACACGCGCGCATTGCATGCGTTGTAATCCGAAATAATTTCATATCCATTATCTTATATCCATTTCATATCCATTATATTATAATGGATATGAAATTATTTCGGATCACGCCTATCTCCGTAACCAATCCGTATTCGAAATTTTATATCCATAACATCCCTGCTACTAAGTGTGCGTCCTGGCTATTTTGCCCACTTTTAGTTTGATACGCACAATACTATGACTATAGATATAGATAATATGACTCTGATGAATGTCTATTTGTCTGTGCACTTTTGCCGACATACCATCATTTATTCTAAGCAACAAACACTTATATGAGTATTCATATTTTTAGAGAAAGAATAGCGAATATCTTAAATATTGTGATGACTCCTTGCTGGGGTGTGATTCAGCCCAAGAGTTCAGAATGGATTACAATGACTGTATACACTCTCCAGGAGCCTGCCACTTTCACGTATGACAATTAGTTTCTTTTATTTCGTATTTATCTTAAATAGTAAGATCTCTGGCAAACAAACTAGGTTTTTGTGGCATAGCAATCGGCGCCGCACTTGGACCCTTGTTACATTAAAGGAGATACAAATGCGTTGCCGACCTTTTGTGGGTTGTTTGGGATTTAAGAATAGGGCACTTGAGGAATGATAATGGTAACGGCGGGGAGGGGGAGGGCCGGATTTGGGCCTCCGGTAACCTCACTTACGCGGCAGAAGCCCTAGAGGTATATCTCCGGTCGAGCAGGGCCATTCGTGCTAAATCATGACTCTTCTACACTTGAATACTTAGGTAAGATTTGGTTACTTCAGCTTTGTATTGTCAAAAAACTGATGAAAAAAAACTATTTTCTTCTACATCAATAGGACAACTGTCGCCTGCGAGATTTTAGATCTAACAGATCGTAAGAATTATCAACAAAATGAACTTCTGAAGCGAAAAAAAATCGAGAAGTGTAACCAAGAGTTCATTATAACCGAAGAAGGAACGTTCTACCCTGTGAGTGATATTTACTGTAGTTAGCTGTAGATAATATTTTTAGAAAATAACCTTTATTTTATTTTGTTTAAGTTTAATTTTCAATAAGGTTTTTATGATCTTTAGGATATAAATGATTCGCCGCCCTATGTACTCGATTTAGAAAAACCTCAGCCAAGATATCTGGCAATGACGGTGTCAGTGTCTTCGAAAGGCCAACGGGATGGATACCCGAGAATGCTGTTAAAACAAATGTGGCAACAGGTAAATATCTTGAAAGTTTGCACAATATTTTAGTTTCCATTGCCTCATAGGAAATTGTCACCTATTTTTCGCTTTTGGGCACTCGTAATACAAAAGAAGTTGTCTATTACAAGTGCGTTGCCGACCTCGTGTCATTAGGTATTTAAGGATAGAGGATTTGAAGATTGAAGATGGGAGGGGTGGGGGGAGGGGGTGTGATGGACCCTCTGGTAACGTCACTCATACGGTGAAACACAACGCAAGTGTTGGCTCACGCTGGTTTTCTGTGAGGCCATTCATGGTTCACTTAGCCATCTTATTAGACATGGTTCACTTGGACACCTAAGGAACATCTTCCTGAATTAAGGTTTTTTATTTTCAGCCACCACCATACGATTTATTGGCATCAAACGTGACCGACCTGGCCGATCGTCCAACAACAAGCAACAGCATGACTGTCGCCGATATACTTAGAATCATCGACGGGATATTATGGTAATGAAGCTTTATTCTACCTTGTAATATTTTCAATCTTCAAGTGATTTTCCTCGACCCGGGGAGGGCGAAAGACAGTTTCAGGTTCTCACTAACAACTAAAAACCAACGCACTCCTTTTCCTGCTCTAAATCTGGCCTCCGGTACATTACGGCGTTCCTACCCGCAACCCTGGCTTATCATCAGCCTTGGGCCCTGGGCCCCATCTGTGGTGGTCTATTTTCTCTTTGAGGTAATCGTGCCTAGTGTGAGGTTAATTTTGCAAAATTGTTGGTCTTTTCTTACTGTTAACAAGTTTTAAAGCTTTGCTTTGGGATGGTGTTACAGGGACGCAATGCATAGCAAAATGTTCAAATATCAGATAGAATACTATTCGAAAGAGGAGGTACCGACCTATGGTCAACTGTTGAGAGTATACAATCGGGAAGTTAAACCGGAATTGAGTCGAAGGTAAGAGTGGAAGACGTAATATTATCAAATTGTTTAAAACAACAACATTTTAAAATCTTCATGTTTGTTTCAGGGTCACGTCTGGGATATGCGATGCGATTGTCAATAAGGCAGTGTTCCACAATTTCGGACTCAACGCTAAGCAGTCCCCCATCATGGAAGCGGAATGATTAAAGATACTTTGCTTATTACTTAAATTAAATAAACCGTTATTTTTAAAAACTGATTTATTAAATCAACAACATTAATAAGTTAAAGATACATACTGGTATCAGTCTAGAATCTTGTCTAACCTTAGTTGTATTTTCTTCGGTTTCGGTGATGCTATCACTGTAACCGCTACCCTGTCTCCAAGTTTAGGTGTCTGATGGCCACCCAAATTGCTTCGGTGGATAAGACCATTGTCTCCTACGCCGCAGTCGACAAAACAGCCAAATGGCACCACATTACGGACGACACCTAAAATAATATATTAGCTGAATATTTTGCAAACGATATGGCGATATTTTTAGTTTTAAAAGTCGAAAATTTATTATTTTGACTTTTTATAACCAAACTTTCATTAATTAATTTGCCATAGTTATAAGGTAGTTTAAAAATCTTCTAGACTGATGAATTTTTTTTAGAAATAAATTTTGTGAAGTATTAAGTTTAAAAAAAATTGTGAGTCATTTTGCGATTGACGTTGCGATTTCATGCAAATGTCAAAAGAAACTACCGTTTTTGACATTTCAATAAAAGTATTGATTTTGACTAGTTGGAAACCACATTATTTTTGATAGCGAATTCAAGTTTTACCTGTCAAACTAGTGCCCTCCTTTAATTGGTCCACATTTTGCACAGCAACAGAATAAACGGGTTTGCAAAATGTTATCACATTGTCTTCATATTTCTTTTGTTTGAATGCACTGATTATTAGTTCCAGCGTACAAACATCAGTGTTCAATTCCGCACTAGTTTCACTTACATTTATAGCCAATATTTTTGTTTCTACCATTTGTGGGAAGTGCGGTTTTGTTAGGTCTTTTATATTGACTCCGATCTTTTTGGCGAATCTGAAATTGTTATGGATAGAGGTTAGATTTGTTTCATACAAAATGATGATTGAATCAAAGTCAAAATCATTTATTCCAACTAAACCATAAATAGGTAACTTTTAATATGTCAAATTAGAATAGTAATCTGTGAGTCTGTTCGTCAGTGAGGCTAGATGCTCTAGTGTAGGCGCAAGTGCAAGTGCTATTTATTCGAAATTAAATTGGTATTGAAAAGAAATCTGACTGCCAACTCACGATTTTGCTATTTTATAACTCTCTGGATGTATGATAGTTGTATCCAATGGCTCCGAACTACCAAGCACGGTCAAAAAGCCAGCACATTGCTGGAACGTAATCTTTCCAATGCCTGTAACCTTAAGAATCTCCGCCCTCGATTCAAAACCATTATGCTCTTGGCGATATTCGATTATTTTTTTAGCTCTTCCTTCATTCAAGCCTGATATTCGCCTGGAAATAAAGAGTAGAAATTAAATATGTTTTTGACTCTTAAGGAGATAGCATTATTCTAGTGTGATATACCTTGCCACAAAATAACGCGGAAAGAGCCTATAGGCAAAAGAAATGCAGGACGACAAAGAAAAGAAATAACAAAAGTGGAATAGACGGAAATCGACACAAACCATGAAAGATGGCTGGCACTATATAGCGAATAAACCTTAAAATAACTCCTTTGCATGTAAAGGTTTTTTATGTGTAGATAAATAATGCTTTATATTATTTTATGTACCTTAGCATGGCTTGCGATGCAGTATTGATGTCGACACCAACTAAACTGACTACCTTCTCGACAGCACTATCTAAGGCAGTCTCCAACATTTTTGGGGGAATATCATGCTGATACATTCCAACGCCTAGATTTTTCGGTTCTACCTATTAAACAATACATATCATTAGTTATTCCAGGTATTCACACACACACACCAAATCTTTTATTTTTTGAAACCATGCTACAACAAGGGATTTTCTCCTGTCGTGGATACGTTCATAAACATACAATTTTATATACTTATCACACCCAATCCGGAACAAAATTGGTCCCACAAAGAGTTGTTCTGTGTGGGTTTGATCCCACGCAGAACCACAACTCTTTCTGAAACCATGAAAAGACGCATGGTAATCAGTTGCCCAGTCACCGCGCCAAACATGCAGTCAAGAGTCTAAAGTGAACTTTTAATTGCATGTTTACATGTTTGTGCACATAAGTATGATGATATTAATAATACTACTTACTTTTATAAGTTCTCCTAAGGGGTCTAAAACTCTTCTAGCTATCGACAAGGCAGATATTAAATTTGGATCCATATTTGGGTGTTCCTGTAATTACAAATGTTACAATATAATATTGCTCTGTGATTTTCAGATGAAGTGGAAAGCAAGTCTTTTACCCTGTAGCTGTCTTTTTACATTAAACTTAATAAAAATATATTCAAGTGGTTGAAGTACCTATGCCAGCCATATTTTAACGTGAAATTAAATGGATACAAACTCACCTTCTGAGCTTCTTTGCTTACAGAGTAAATAGAGGCCCCTTGTTCGGGAACAATGATAATAGGCACTTTATCACATATATTATTACTTTTCAACCATAATTCTGTTTCACGACAGGCAGTACCATTACCTAGACCAATTAATTCTACACTGCGAAAAAACAAATGTTAATTATTCTTTATTAGCTTTTTTTGGTGAACCTAAATAAATGCTTTGTGGAACTAAGCTTACCCATGTTGACTAATCATGTCTCTTATCTGTTTGGCTGCGGGATCAAATGACTTTTGCTGCCTCAAATCTGGATACACAGTGCAAGCATCCAGTTTCTCCCCATTAGCATTTATTATACCAACCTGAAATAAAAATTTAAACATCTAGCATAAGTACTTTAGGTTTGTTTTAAATAAATGTTGCTCCACAATAGGATTTTCTCCTGTGTTGTGCGTTTACAAACATACACATCACAACCAGAGTCAGAACACCAAGTAGTGGATCACACAAAGAATTGTATCGAGCAGGAATAGAACCCGCGGCAAGTTGAGCGGCAGCCAGTTTCTCAGCCATCGCGCCAACCGTGCAGTCAAAATATTTGATTTTGGTGTTTAATGATTTGATAGTTTATATTTTAGAGAGAGTCATGGGAGTGGTCTTATCCCTCCACAGCAATTTAAACATATATATTAGAGAGTCATATTAAGACAATCATTACCTTACAACCCGCCCTAAAACCAGGATCTAAGCCCATAATAATTCTATTCTTGATTGGCTCAGTAAGGAGATACTTCTCTAGATTAGTAGTAAATGTTTTAACTGCTTCTTTCTGCGCAGAAGCAGTAAGGTCGGACCGGACGTGCCGCGACAACCACGGCTTAATAAGACGGTTGTAAGCATCACCAAGACCTTTGCGCACCCAGAAATTACTTTTCCATAATGTCAAACAAAATCTGAAAGTTTTAATACAATTTGTCAAGTCCACTTCAATATCATGTGCTGAATAGAAATAAAATGGCAAAATATCAATAATGGGTTCTAATAGGTTATACTCAATAGCAAAAGAGCTTATGCTAAACATCTGACAAAAATTTTAGTCACCCTTACACTCATACAATTAGGTAAATAATTTTCGGCACACCTAATATTCTTGGAAAAAATATGATCTTAATGTCAAGATCGTATTTTTTTTATTTTTCTCATATATATTAGGTGTGCCGAAACAATTTTAATTAACTTATCTCGTATTTTTTAGAGTAAAAGAAAATAAAGAGTTTTATAAATAATACCTTTCAAGTCTATTATAAAACCAATCAGGAACAATAACTTTTACTGATAGTATTTTCTCATCTTCTCCTCTGTTTAATGCTAATGTTTGATGTGGTTTCACAAAGTGACTGGGACACTTCCAGTCAAAGTACAGTTTGTAGGTCTCAGGATCTGACTTGTTGTCTAATTTCTTCTTATCATCTACTTTGTCCTTTGTTGAACTTTTAGTTCTATTACTCGTTATTGTAAATCTTGTTTCTTCTTTGCTGAGAAATATAATATTGTAATGATTACATTTTTATATTCCTTCTTTTCAATATTACTTCTATTATTATGTTTAACTATCTGACCTGGCGAACTCCATACCGCCTCAAATATGCCTATTTGTTTTGGCCTTTTATACCTTCCCTGGACTCCCAATAATAATTTAAGACCAAAATTAGCTAAATCGGTAAAGACATTGTTGAGTCCACTTGCCACTTTTTGTTGTAATGTTATAATTACAACAAAAAGTGGCCTTGATTTTTATATACATAATTATATAGAATAAACTATTCTCGTAGCTGTGTGACAAGGAACTCAAAAATGTTCAAGTCAGCTAGAGTGAGATGCGCCGTTAAACTAAATAATTCATTAGAAAATGTCATGACAGTTTTATATAACAAATTGGAAGATGTCAAGACCTTGTACCTCTATACTAATTTTATAAAGAGGTAAAATTTGAAAGTTTGTATGTAGGGGGTAATCATTAGCTAGTATAATATATAGTGCATAATTTTAAATTTCATTTGTCTACTTACAGGCTCCTCATATGTTCTAATACCCTGGTATCTTTGTAAATAATGTCAGCTACAATGTGAGTTATATGAGATTCTACTTTGTCAATTGTTGCCAGCTCATCACTATTGTTACACAATGTATTCATGTCAATATACTCTCCATTCAATGCTCTTACTGCATGTGGCTCTAACCCAAGGTTGCGGGCCCTTTCAGCAAGGGACAGTGAATGTGATTTTAGTGGGGCATACTGAAAAAGAATTATAATAATATGGTAGTTCCTAACTTTTGATATAAGTAACTATAGTTAAAAAACATTAAAAATTATAAATAGTTTAGATTTATTTATTGGTCATGTAAATGTAAACTATTAGTGTTACAAATCTTTAAGGTTCTTTGTACAACTGATTTTCTACTTGTACATTTTTGTTATTAAATAAATAGGTACATGTAAGTTTAAATGAAAGTCAAAAAGCATTAATGAAGCCCCAAACCCAATGGATAGAAAGATTTGAAATAAAATGGCTGACTTACAATTAAATCAAGTTCAGATAAGTTACGGGCATTCAATATCCCTTTTTCTATGTCAGGTGTCAACTTATTCGTTTTCTTCAGAGTCTCAATAACAGACTTCACTTTCTTCTTTAGATGTGTTATGTTTTCATAACTTTCATGTAATTCTTGCAGGCTAAGAATTGTATGTTTTAGTTATTAAAACATATTTAAACAATATAATAAATACTCACAACTTTTTGCTGCAGTATAGTTAGAACATCTTATTATTTTGTAAGCCTGAATGTATATCTGATGGGATTGTAAGAGTAATTTACTTCTAAGGAAACAATATTTCTGTTCATGGATTGCACTTGTGAGTTCTGACCTGTTGGACTTGTCCTAGTTACTAATATAATAAAAATACAATAAATAACAATATACTAAATCAATCATAACAATACCAAGTTGACAAAATGAAAAATCCTAAATATACCTTATCAAGACCAAAAAATAAGGTTCTTGTAATTTAAACATGCTGAAGAGTGTTCTAAAAAAAATTATGTATCTATGGTTTTAGGTATAATTACCGGTCAGGCATTAAATTATCCACTGCAGTCTTTCTGTATCTGGCAATAAATGGTAAAGTACAGCCTTCTGTAAGAAGACCAATTAAATTTTTTGCGACTTGAAGAGGGATTTTCTCGATTTGTGATAGCAATTCAGCTTCATCCCAGAGGTTGTGAAGTTGTTCAGTGTTATCATTAAAATCAATGTCTACATTATTCTCAACAGTTGTTTTGATTGGTTTACTCCGAGATGTTTTGGTTTCTTTCGCTTCCGTCTTTTTGATACCTTTAGAACTTGTACTTGCTTTAGGTTTAGAACATTTTTTAACTTTTTCAATGTTTTCCTTAACTTTTGATGCCTTTGCAACAGTTTTAATTTTTTTCTTAGGAGTTCCTTCATCAACACTCTCATTTTCATCGTCTTCAGTATATTCCACAGCTTTACGCTTTCTTAATCTAGGGGCTGATTCCATGACGTTGATATATTTACTTGCTAAAGGAAAACTTAATGAATAACAAAAAACCTTTTCGTCAATAAAATGTAAACAAGCAAAACTACTGTAAAAATATACCTAAACGTCAAAATTTTAAATTTATATTTTTTGACGTTTGACATTTATATTTTTTATTAGCAACACTAATAATTAAATTTTTAAAACTCGACTTTTTGTATGTTATGGCGCCCCTCTAGACTTTGAAGTTGACAATTTGTTTTCTATTCCATAGACAAAAAGAAAGTTAAATCCACAGAGTACTTTTTTATACATGAAAGTTAAATCAAAGATTTTATGGGTAGAGTTCTCTATAAACGTAGTGGTTACATACTCTTTGGTTCTCTATTCTAAACGTAGTGGTTACATACTCTTTGCTCTATTCCCTAAACTTTAAATACCTATATAAGTAATTATTTCTTACATTAAATATAACCAGCTGTGTTGTTGCCGATAAGTTAATTGATTTCATTAATAATAATGACCACTTTGTTTGAACCATGTCAGAAAAAACCTGTAAACAAGTTTATCCAATATTTTTATCAAGGCAATCTTAATTTTTATTTATTGGTAAGTAATGTCGTGCACAACTTTATATTATCAAATTTATTGTGAAAATTAAATATTCTTACTTATTTTTATTTTCTCTCTTAATAAAAATAAATGTATTTTCCATTTAAGCCTAAAGACGTGGAAGAGATGGATTGGAACTGGCAGCAGGAATTCTTAGATGCAACAGTCAATAGCAAATTAATGAAAGAGTATCCTGCAAGCAGCAAGTTTGTGAGCTTGTTCCTAAAAAAAATTATTCAGCATTTAGAACCAAAGCAGGAGGTCCATGATGGATTCTATGAACATTTATGTACAAGTATGAAACACATAGACAAAGATGGTTATAGTTACCGGCATTATTTGATAGGAAATGATATCAATAATGTTATAACTACAAAAGAAACCAAGAATATGGTGGTCAATGGTACAACAGGGTTGAAGACTTGGGAGGTATTTTGAACTTAATAGGTTTGTTGATATTAATAATAACACTGATTTTAGTTTTAAAGATTTGGTACCTAGATCTTTATTTAAAAACACAAAGTTATGTGGCCAACACTTTCATTTCTAATCAATGTATATGACTACTTACCTACCTATTTATATACTTTATGTAATCTTTCTACTTCCATTTTTTATGCTTAATATCCTTAAAAATGTTGATTGTTCCAGGCTGCTTTAATGTTATCCGATTGGGTGCTGTGCAACAAAAACTTTTTTTCTAATAAACATGTGTTGGAGTTGGGCTCCGGAGTAGGATTCACTGGTATTACAATTGCTAAGTACTGCAATACCAAATCAATGGTGCTTACCGACTGTCATGATGATGTTTTAAAGACAATATGTGATAACATACAAATAAATTTTGCACAACTACAAAAACAGGAAGAAAATATTATTACTTGGTTTAAAGATCATAATAAATCACTAGGTATGTAAGTTTATATATTATAAATATCTTGAGAATATCATTTACTTTAATGGTTAGCCAATTGACTCAAGTTAAGGGATCATACTCATGAGAAATTTTTATTTATGCTTCAGTTAAAATTTTCAGTCGGGGATATATTTTTTATTTTATTTTGTAGGTGTAACAACGCTGGACTGGAATGCAATTGATGATTTTATGGAAGATATGGTACCAGATATTTTGATTGGTGCAGATATAGTGTATGACCCTTCAATACTGCAACCATTGTCCAATGTTATCCATACCTTTTGTTCTAGAAATAAGAAACTAGAAGTTTTTATTGCAAGTGTTATTAGAAATGAAGAAACTTTCAAAGGCTTCTTAAAAGCTTTAAGTAAGTATATTTAATTACTTTAATGACCTGAGGGCCTACCATGACATGTTGAGTGTGAATCTTCTAGGCGAGAAAGAGGGATGGAGCTATAAAAGGTGTATAGCTCCATCCCTCTTTCTCGCATGGAAGATTGACGCTTTTACAGGTCATGGTAGGCCTACTGTACAGGTAAGTTGAGAAGTACTTTATATTAGCAGTATGTTTCTAATTATTATCTTTTTTAGGTGAAATGGAGCTAGAGTATGAAACAATTGAACTACCAAAGTGTGTTCATATTGAATGGGATGAAAATATAAATAGGAGTTTATTAAGAATAAATTCAAAATCAAAGTAAATATTTTTATTTTATTTATTTTTAATATAGTGTTGGATAGGTAAGCCTCGGCGCCAATGGGTCGGCTCGATCGGGGTGATAGCACGGCCTCACAGAAGAAACAATAATAGCGTTGTTTTGCCGTATGAGGGAGGTTACCAGGGGTCTAATCCATCCCATCCCTCCAAACATCTTAAAATTGGAGGTTTGGAAGGCAGACATTAATATCTGAAACCCTTATCTCCAAATGGCCGTCAACGCGCTCGTTACTCCTTTGGTTTAGGTGCCCATGGGCCGTGACGATCGCTTACCATCAGATAAGAGGAACACTCGTTTGTTCTCATAAAAAAATACATGTTGGCCGTGCATTACCTACAAATTCTTCGACTTGTGTACCTACAGTTTTTTTAATTATTATTATTATATGTATAGCTGGACGCCCGTGAACACTCATAACGCTAAGTTAAGAGTTACAAGTGCGTTGCCGTTAGGGATTTAATATTAGAGGTTTTTGGGATGGAGGATGGGGTCGGGGGTGCTGATTGAGCCTACTGTATCCACCCAGGGCGAAACGCAAATGTTATTTTTGTAATAACAAGTGAAGTAATTATTGCTGCGGTCGACCCTTTCGCGCTGAAACATGGCTCTCCCACACTTATAATATTAATGTATTTTATAAAAAACAGTTTGCCGATAAGGTCTGTGTGTATGTATGGTTGTTGATAGAAGCATTGAAAAAATGATACACGTGTTCTTAACTTGACGTTTATTGAACAACTGACTTCCTCTGTGAACTGACTCCATTCTTTCATTGAACTTACAATACCTTAACCTATTGTGCCTACGCGCTACAGTCCTTCCCTTACTTGAAACCAAATTTTATTTTTACAAACCCCAATAAGAAAAAGTTTACCGGGATAAAAGTCTTTAATCACTAATGGTTTTCAGACACTAGCACGCACTGTTCGCTGTGTATACACTAAGTTGGTTTAATTCATCAAACCGTAAGCGAAAATCGGCATTCGCGCACATATTGTTCTTCTATTTTAACTGGAATCGTCACGATTTAGAGGCAAGGTTGGCATTCGGAAGGTTCGTCTGCGTGACAGGCCATGCGATGTTTCTGGAACGCATTCCGCAGCTGATTCTTATCTCTATGGCGGTTTCGATGCGACAATTGCAGTATCACCACTCCACGTAGTGTACCTACGCAAAGGATGACGGTAGACGACTTCGAACACCTTCAGTGCTGCGTAGGCTCGCGTCCTCAACCTTGGCTTTGTTGCTCTTAGCTGCACAGTTTTGGGCTACGACGGTCTTTTTACTAGCTGGTTGACCCATTGTAGAGTTGCGGTGTTGTGACTTGGGTGATGCGTGCTTGTTTTGCTGACGTGACACAGCACTTTTGGATGTGAGCTTTTATTGACGGTTCACATGTCGAATCTCACGGTCTTTAACGATGCCACCAATCTGGTAACTTGCTTGCTTGACGGACTTTGCCCTGTCGGATGGCGTCGTATCGCTAGGCAGCTGTGGTATGGTGCTGAGTGGCGTGCTATCGCTCGGCGGATGTGGCCCATCTTATCGCTATGCGGATGTGGCGCGACTTATCGCTAGGCGGATGTGGCGCGAATTATCGCTCGGCGGATGTGGTGCAAATTATCGCTCCGTGGATGTGGCGCGTCATCACGAGTATTCGCTGCTCTCTCCAGGCGTGACAGCAACATATCGTCATACATAATAAATAGGCTAGTTTCAAGCGATCAAGTGACACCGTGAATTGATTTTTGTTACAGTCAAACGTATATAATTTATTATGTCGTGGTAAGACTTTGAAAAGGTCCTTAGGCGGTGGTGCTAAAGCTTGTCTTGCTTTGTTAAATGTTCGTGACTGAATGCGTTATTTTTCGTAACCGTAAACTAAGTACCTATGTGAACTTGACAAGGATTTGATTTTGTGACAAAGATTAATTGTAGATGTAGGTTTAGGTTATAATATAGGTATCGTCTGGGAGTCCAAGACTAGTTACTTCATATATACATTATGAAGGAATACTGCCTAAGTCTAATTAATAGCAGTACGTAAACCCAAGAATAGATAAGTCATGTAGGTACCTACCCATAGTTATTTAAGCATTTTACCGTAATAGCGGCTTTTAAAGTGCGATATAATAATAATTATTGGGCCATACCGTTTGCTTTTGGATTGTACGCTGTCATATGAATGCGTTCGATATGGATCTCTTTTAATTATTGACGAAAGAAATTGATCCTTATTGACGCCCTTGCTCTAAAGTTGTTCTTACTGGACAACCGAAGCGAGCGATCTAATGTTCCACGAACATCCTAGCAAGTGTTTTCGCTCTTATATCTTTTACTGGTATGAGTTCAGGCCCTTGCTTCGGACCCTTACATAATAGTGTAAGGTATGGATGTATGACCCGAAACCGACTCGACTCCACATAGTGCGGTGGATGGATACGCGATAAATAAGTGCGACACTTGAGTTTCCGTTGGAAACTAGCTGTTTTCCGCGTTTTCATCGGAGAGAACGACTACCCACACCTGGATATAGAGGGACCGGACATAGAGGGTACAAAAAGGTGCCAAATTTCATCAAAATCTGTTGTGCCGTTCGCACGCGAAGAAGTAACAAATAAACATGTACACTTCATCTGTTCTTATAAAGTGGTAAGAAGATAAGAAATGTTAGAAAATCCTTAAGTGAATATTTGAATGGTTTATGCAGTGATGAACTGCGGAATCTTGAAAAGGTGCAGCTGTTTAATGAACGAGGAAATTTAAAGAAAATTTGAACAATGGAGCTTTTCTTTAACAATGTAGATAAACAGCTGTGGAAACCACGACGACGACGATTCAATAAATCATACATGTGACTGAGAAGTAGTCAGAAGAAAAGAAAGAGAAAATTAACGTTAATGCAGTGATGATAATACGTTTCTGTTGTATCGCTCTAAACGATGCAGTGGTATAAATAACACTTTACGTCAATCTTGGTCATCTGATTTGTTTAAACAGACATACAAAGATGAAATGGGTTTGGAAATTGTAGTGACATTGCCTAGAATCATCACTATTATAAATCTAGAAGCGAAATAGATGAAATTGTTACGAAGGAGATGATTAGGTATTGGAACAACATCTCCATTAGCAATAACCAAGCCTCTGACTGATTTACAACGTGTCAAAGATTTGAAGTATAATTCAAAATGAAAGATATTGTAAATAAACACCCCAATAGAGTCACTCATAAAGAGAGAGAATTGATAAAACAGTAACATTCGTGATAAGAAATTATCGTGGAATGTTATTAAAAAAAACATCATGACGATATCTGCTATACAGATTTTACAGAAAAAAATAAAGGACCTTAATCCAAATAGAATATAATGAACATATAATGGAGGACATGTAGAAAAAGACTTATTAGAAAGTGACAATTTTAAATCAATTAATATCTATACTATAGGATGTCCGAAATTGAAAAAATATGAGTGTCGTTAAATTAAATTATTTGTTTAGAAACTAAATATAATAGACACATTGCCTTTAAAAGAAACCTAGCTAACACCTGTCTTGTGGTTGTAGTTTTCAAAATGCAAGCGTTACAAAATGGTGGTTATAAAAATATGATGTCATAATCACCAAATAGGAAGTGTATCATTTAGGTATGGCATGGCTAGAACACAATATGTATCAGCAAGAGATTGCTAATAAGTGGATAGCCGTTTACAGTCGTGTGTTACCACAAACGCTGGACCGCCTCACTATGGGAAAGCCCCATACAAGGCCGTCTCAAAACCCTTTCACGTGAAAGTCGTTGTTATGGAGTAAAACTCATTAATTAATTTAGTCTTATAAATAAGCTTTCTTTTCTATATTTATTAAATTATTTTTTGCTAACCGTGATGTATATAAAAAGCATCAAAGGTAACTCATGTTCAATGATGTGATTTTGGCACAATACATTACTACAATTCAACGCCACATTACTCGAAAATTTTTCATATAAATGTATAAGTATTATACATTTTTGAAATGCTTATAATCTCCTCTTAATGTTTCTTAAATAATATTATGTATAATAAATTAATTAATTAAAATTAACCAATGTAGTTTAAGATGGTATAATTTTCGGGTTACTTTTTTTTTTAACGAGACTTACCCGTTTGCCGCTGTTTGCCGCTGTCAAGATATTTGTTGTATTACGATCTTTATACATTAGTTTAAACAAGGAGAGAAAAAAAGTTGCGCATAAGTACTTGCGCCTTTTCTGACACGGAGCCAAAACATATCGCGAGATATTTTTTTTATTTTTTTCCTATATCTTTTTACTTCTCACGTAACCATCTGTTATCTTATTAAGGTCAAATTGATAAAATGGTCATTACAGTAATAAGTATTATTAATAGTTATTTGTGGTTTTGATACCTATACATAGTTTTGACCACCATATTTGTTAAAAATATGGTCACTTTAACCAACCTGTTTTTAATTTGACCCTAATAGATAGGGTCAAATTAAAAACAGGTTGGTTATAGGAAGAGTGCAAATATTAGTTTCTTATCTTTTTGCACATAGCACTAATTCATCGGCCTATAAAAGAAAGGCGAACCCTGAAACATCCACAGATGTTCGTCAGAATATCAGTTGCCTTAAAAAGCAGTTAATATCTACATATTTTCAAATATTCACAGAAGTTATCTGATTTGAAAATAATGGGTGAATTTGTTTGTAGTAAACGAGAGTTGTGCAATTTGTTGATAAATGGGAATAATATAGAAGACTACTTGCAAGAAAATTTCAATTTGTCACCAGAGGATATGGCTACTGTGTGTGTACTCCTACATTCAAAGAAACTTAGTATATAAATGTAACGAACGCTGGAGAAATGCATCCTGGAAAAGAGAACGCTTTGAAAGTAAGAACATCGACTGGTTAAATGGTGAATTTCGTGTTCCACTGGAGTGTCGAGTCACAGTTAATGACCCTAATACGTCTGGAAGCAGTGCAGGTGGCAGACCATCGAAACCATACGAAGCATCTCCAGAAAAAACATGCAATTAATACAAGAGTACGGATTGGACTGTGTGCTCAATGCATATGCTCAGGAGTTGCGGTCTATGGGTGAGACGGAGGAGGCCACGATTGTTAATATTATACGAACTGCGTCAAAAAATGATAAGAAAAAGTTTCTTAAATTCATAACTGAGAACCCTGAAGACGTTACACCTTTTACAAAAGAAGAAGCACTACGGACATTTATTGACTTAGACCTTAATAAAGAACAGTATGGGAAGCTTCGAATGTGTTTGGCGGACAAAAACTGCTCAGTGTTTCCTTCTTATCCAACTTTAGCCGAAGCGAAGAAGATTTGTTACCCACCAGATTCGAGCATAACCATTACTAACATAAGTGCAAAAGTCAATCTGCAGGACTTGTTGGATCATACTGTGGCACGTATATTACTAATTGATTCAGTTTACAAAAACGGTTTAAGACAGATGAAACTATTCTGCAAATGGGGTTGTGATGGGTCATCAGGGCAAAGTGAATACAAGCAAGTTTTGCCCGAAGAAAGCGATTTCACATCAGATGCGAACCTTTTTATTGCTTCACTTGTACTCATTTTAACTCACAGATGAGACAACTAATATTGTTATTTGGAAAAATGAAACTTGCTCATCCGTAAGACATTGCAGACCTATATTGATAGAATTTGCCAAAGAAACTCCTGAAAAAACCGCCTCTGTTGTGGCTGATATCAAAAATCAAATTAAAAACCTGTCTCCTTCCTTGATAAATAAGAATAGTGAAGTAATTGAAATTACTCATAACCTATTTTTAACCATGATTGATGGTAAAGTAGCACAAGTTTTAACTGAAACTCCTTCGAGCGCTTCTTGTACAATTTGTGGTGTTACTCCTCGGCAAATGAATAACTTAGAGGCAATTAGGACACGAGATGTGAATGAAAGTTCATTTCAATATGGACTGTCAACACTACACGCTTGGATTAGAAGTATGGAGATGATTTTACACATTTCCCATAACTTGTCTTTCCAAAAGTGGTCAACTACACTACACCAGAAAATAAAAAAAACAAAGACGAAAAGAAAAAACTGGTACAAAAGCGGTTTATGGAGGAAATGGGACTGCATATCGATAAACCTCGCCAAGGCACTGGAAATAGTAATGACGGAAACACAGCTAGGAGATTTTTTCAGAATTACTCTTGCTCTGCAGACATTACAGGTGTAGACGTAGAACTTATAAAACGTATGTACATTATACTATAAACTATGTCATCTGGAATGGCTATTGATTCAAAAAAGTTCGGTGAATACGCATATAGTGCGCCCAACTGTACGTAAATATTTATAATTGGTATTATATGCCTTCCTCCGTACATAAAATACTTATTCACGGAGAAAAAATACTTATTCACGGAGAAAAAATCATTGAGTACTATGCTATTTTACCAATAGGACAATTGTCCGAAGACGCTCAAGAATCCCGCAGCAAGGATTACAAAAAGTTTAGACTTCATCATTCTAGAAAGTGTTCAAGAGCGGCTACCAATACAGACGTGTTCCATACCTTATTATACACTTCTGATCCATATATATCAAGTTTGAGAAATACTTCAGAAACAATATCGAAAGAACTTTTCGATGAAGCCAAGTCCCTTCTTGCTGTCAACGAAAATCTGTAGGAGCTTGTTGAATTTTGTACATTATTTTTTTTTACGTAGACACTGTTTATACAATGATATTTAATTCTATTTTATGTAAGGAAATTACAAAAAAATATTTTTTTCTTATAAATGCATGTATTTTTTTTAAGTTTTATTTTTTAAATTAATTAATAAACATAATTTTTAAAATTGTTATTTTTTGTTTTAAACCTTACACTTTTACGTATATGTGTGCAAAATTACAGATAATTTAGTTTTGAAATAACTGAGATACGGAGTTTTGAGACGGAACATACGCGATTTTCCCATAGTGCGCCTCACTGACCGAAGCTATTAAACATCTTATCAAACAGAATCTGCGACTCGTCATGCCCATTAGAGTGGACCATGCGTGGACGCATGCCTCGCAACACCTATATCCGCGAGCAGGGGGATGTGGGGTGATTGAATGGGACAAAGTAGAAAAGTGAAGCCGTATGGAGATAGTGAACGTTGAGGATGCCTATAAAAATGTCCGTACTGTGCGCATTCAGTCAGTCTTGCTCCTGCTGTCGCATAGTGCGGACCTCTGGGAAGCTAAATATACGGTGTCTTGTTCTTTGGCCAAGACCTATACCACTAGCCGAATTAAATAGGAGACGTTAATAACCGCTTTAAAGGTGTATACAAGCGCAATTTGGGTGATCCAGAAATAAACACCCTAATAGAAATACTTACAAATATCTGGGACGATTCTATCACTTCGCATTTGGAGGATACTGTAGGTGATATAAATATCGAAGCGGAGAAGTGGCTTCACTTGGTAGATAATTTGCCTACCACCAGAACGTTCTGAGCGTGTAATATGTCCAGTGGACAAAGTACAAACTATCCACTACGTGAGTAATGTTAAGTGTAAACGAGCTCTATTCAAATAAAGAAAGTTTCAATTTTAAATCAATAAATATCGAAACTATGATGTCCGATATTCGAAAAAATTATAAGTGAAATGAAATTAAATAATTTGTTTAAATAGACACATTGTGTGTATTTCAGACATACAAAGATTTATAGAGAATGTCTTAGAAATATAATACCAAATGCAATGCAAACAGTGGTGCAACTGGATAACGGGTTCATATTTTCGCTTCCATCATAATAGCGAAGATCTACTAATGCAATTAAATGGTGGTGTTAATCTGATGAATAAGGGACCAAGTGGGAAAACCTTGATCATCAACTTCTCAGTGGACTAATCTCTCAAGGGAGGATGATAAAATATTGTGTTTTTTGAGTTGCAGACTCTGAGCTACTCGTCTTCTTAAAACTGTAACATACGAGGGCAATTTGGAGGATCCAGGTTTAGAAATATTGTGCTACTTATTTGTAATTTTATATACTACAATTTTATATAACTATAATATGAATCCTAAAAATATAAGATTTATAATAGATATAGATGGTTTTATGGTTATGAAACAAATGTTTTATAAAGAAATTGCAATTTACGATATCTGGAACAAGGTGCTATATTGTGTATTATAAGTGACGAGAAATTGTCACGGAATGTTATTAAAAAAATATGATGACGACATCCATTATGAAAGTATTATTGAGGAAATAAAGGACCTTGATCCAGATAAAATTTATTTACAGGCATTCAAGGGTGGACATGTTGAAAAAGAGTTATTAGACGACATCAATTTAAACTCCATCAACATAGAAACTTTAGGATGCCCAAAATTTGAAAAAATATTAGTAGTATGAGATTAAATAATTTATTAAAAGTAAATATTTCTTTTTACGTAAAGCTTCTGCTTCTGGAAGCATCATACCGGAAGAGTGGCATAGGTCTTTCTCAAAACAATAAATAATAGATGAAAAAGCAGAACATACAATCATGCTTCGCAGGGAAAATAAAAAATTCAATAGCTTTCAGCTGTTTATCGGGGAAACGGACACACCACTATCAACATTTTCAATAAAAAACAATGCTGGTGGTTTGCCCGGAAAAATAGTAGGTACTGAATAGTATATACTTTCAGGGAAACGTTGAGTTCAGTGTTCCCGGAGTATTTTGATAGTGTGCAGATTCATGCGACCATGAGATACCTAGCCATTCAAATGCAGAATACCTACGTGCCATAAACTCAACAACGACGGTAAAGGAATCGCAACTGCAGACGATAAAGAATATTTGAACAATTCAGATGGCATATTGCAGTATAATGTCATGCCATTCCAAAAGTCTGGCGAGAAAACAAACAACAAACAAATCTATATGAAGTGTAATGAAAGGGGATGACTCAACGGCTCAACCCCTATATAGTAGATTTAAACACTGAGACAAGAACATTGGAAAATAACTCATTTAAAACGACGCTTATGAATAACTGGATTGTCGTTAAATCCAAAAGGACGTAGGAAAACGGGTTGAGGTCAGACTATGTAACTCGTTGACTGATAAGAAATCAAAGGTCAAATGTAAATATGGTGCTCACCCAACAATTACGACGAAGCCAATCTATCCGATAATCCTGGATCGTCCAAGTTCATCCTTAAGTGTGGAGTAAAGTATCCTGAAAGAATACTCATTCACACAAAAGGCAATATTTTAATAATGTTCACAGCAGTGCTATATGGGAAAACTCTATTGTCTACTTATTTTATTTTAAGGCAGACCATTTGTGGAGCAAGTGGCGTCAAAATTGGTCAAACGGTGGCTATAAAATCGGACAAAATCTGGCTAGTTTGATGCCAACGTATTAGAAGATTGGTTACAGAAAATTGTTAGACCATAGTAAGCTGAAAACCTTAGGGGCGAAAATTTTACAAAAAATTATAAAGTGCGCAATTTAGCCACCAAAATCCATACACATTTCGCAGCCCTTGGATGTTTCGGCCCGCTATAAAAGCAATGGCGCATAATTTTGACCACGTATAACATGGAAAATTCGTTAGAAAAAATTATGAGTGAAATGAAATTAAATAATTTGTTAGATCAAAGCTAGTCGTAGGAAATCCTCATTCTCTGATATGCATTGATCGCAATAGGGGTTTAAACAGTTTATTTTGCATTAATTGCATGAATTTTGAGAGGAGTTGCAGTAAGTACAGTTAAAATGCTCTTTACAAATTTATTACCGTGGATGGTAATGTTCCATTTACAATGAGACAATGGTTCTGAAGTGGTGATAAGAAACGTGACAAAATCCTTAAGTGAAGATTTGAATGGTTTATGCAGCGATCAACTATGGAATCTTAAAAAGGTGCAACTTTTTAATGAACGAGGAAATTTAATGAAAAGAAGGACAATGAAGCTTTTCTTTGACAATGAAGATGTGAACAGCAGTGGAAACCGTAAGATGATTCATACTTCATATGTGACTGTAAGAAGCAATATGAAGAAAAAGGAGTTAAAATTACGTTTATGCAGTGATGATAATAAGTTACTGTTGAATAAAGTGGAAATCATAAGGTTTTATCGCTCGAAACGAAGCAGTGGTACGAATAATAATTTGTATCAATCTTGGTCATCTGATTTGATTAAACAGACATACAAAGATGAAATGGGTGTGGAAATTGTAGTGACATTGCCTAGAGCTGGGGGCGTTGGTGGTCATCATCATAAATCTAGAAGCGAAGCAGATGATATGGTTTCGAAGGAAATGAATATTGAAACAACATTTCCCTTAACAACACCGTAGCATTTGAGTAAAACATGTCAGAGATTTGAAGTTTTACTTCAAAGTGTACAATTTTGGATAGAAACACGATTGAAAAAGTTGAATAGTCATGAGTTAACTGAAGATGATTGTTTGGCTCATATACCAATTAAATAATTGTATAATTTAATTTTTCACACGAAACAAAGTTGTTGTGGTGAGTGTCGTCTGTGATAACTGTTGTATGGGAACGACATAAAAATCTACGTTTCAACCGGAAGTGATAAGAATAAAAACGATAAGAATTGAATATATATATCATGAATAATTTAGTTTAACAATACATTCAATTAGTACTATGAGAAGTTGACACTTGTGTCCCTACACTTAAAATCAAATAATCTGCTGTAAGTACCTAAGTGTTAAATTTTTTTGTCAGAAATTATACGTTAATAATGTCTTCATCAAATCAGGAAAACAGTAAAACTTGGAGAAAATTTGTGATTTGGAAATAAATAAACCTTATAAAATTATGGAAATTAGTAGAATGTCTTCAAAATACATAGCAAACGCAATGCAAACAAAGGTGCAACAGATAACGGGTTGATAGTTACGCTCCCACCCAGATATAATGATATTAGTGAAGATCTACTAATGCAATTAAATGGTGTCAATCTGATCAATAAGGGACCAAGCGGGAATACCTGGGTCATCAACTTCTCAGTGGACTAATTAAGGGAGGATGATAATTTTGTTTTGTGTTGCAGAGACCGAGCTACTGGTATAAGCAATTATACATAAAATTATATTCAACTAGTGAGGATACTGTCCGTGATATAAATGTTGAAGTGGGGGAGTGGCTTCAATTGTTGGGTAATGTACCCCTAGAGTGTTTTATGCATGTTGTGTTTAGTGAAAAAAGTGCAAACTATCTCCTTAGCTTTATAATTTGTGCTGTAGGTAAGCGATTGTAATTTAGAAATATTTTAAGATTGTGCTATTTGAGATTTTATAGATATACTTATAACAGTTAATATACTTAGATCCTGAAAGTATAAGGTTTGTCATAAATATGCTTCATGATAATGAAACAAATGTTCTACAAAGAAATTGCAATTTATGATATTTGGAGCAAGGTCGTCGTCTTTATTCCACTTAAAACTCCCAGAATGGGTGTTGAACAGAGGAACAGATAAGACAGTAGCATTTGTGACAAGAAATTGTCACGGGATGTTGTTAAGAAATTATAATAACGACAATCATTATACAAATTTTATTGAAGAAATAAAGGACCTTGATCCAGATAGAATTTATTTATGGGCGTTTAAGGGTGGACATGTCGAAAAGGACTTGCTACATAGTTTAAATCTAAATTCACATAATATAGAAACTTTGGGATGTCCAAAATTTGAAATACTTAGTAATGAATCAATTGAAATTAAATAATTTGTTTGTAAATTGTAACAGACATATTGCTTTTAAAAGAAAGCCTCCTCACACCTGTCATTGTAGTCGTGTTGATGTGTAAGCATTTGCTAAGTGGTTACAAAAATATGTATTGTATATTTTTAAATTTTGTGTATTCAATCATGTTTATCTAATAAGAGATAGTAATAAGATTATGTGCTCCAAATAATGTATACATACTCTACTTTACTTTTAAGTTTATTTTAGGTACGTTAGTGTGCTCAGTACCTATGTATATCAATAAAACACATTTTAATTTATTTTGTTGTCTTTATTTATCCAATTAGTTGAATTAAAACCAAACCACTTAACTAGAACCCTATCACCTTTCTTCTTCAACACTTTTTCAACCAAATACACATCAGAATATTTAACTTTTTACTTTAAAAGAAATCCACTTCACACCGTAGTCCCGTGACGAGGAAACCAGGGTCTGATGATGGTAGACCAAATAAATCTTAGAACAAATATCTAAGTAAAAGGGGAAAATTAAAATAATGTAGGAGCAACTAGGTAATACGTTTGTTGGTAAGTATGTGATGAAGCGCTGCAATTTGATGAAGTTGAAGGGTAGATCTGAGGGTGGAGACGAGGGATGACCGAGGGAAATTTTCAACGATTAAAAGTAGAAACTTTGTGTTTCGGCTTCATCAATTTGTATTTATAAGAACTCTACCTACTGACAAAAAGTCGGTGACTGCCATTAGGCAATCTACCCATACAGTACAACAAATAATCCGACATTAGACATAACATGCGTATAAAACACGATTAATCATCCTTTAACCATTATTACGAAATCTTTGATTCATAGAAAGCGGTGATGACTGAAATGGCTAAGAAAGAAAGAAAGATAGAAAACTTTTTATTCGGCATTGGACATGAAGGCCTAGAACAAAAAATACAGTAAAAAGTTTGAAAAACAGAACAACAAAGTAAAATCAATGCATCGAGAATTGTATACATAACGCAAATAAATAGGTACTTATTTGGTATAACCAACAAATATGAACTTAATCATTCCTTTCCTATTTATCTTCAATCAGTCTTTAATTTGTTACAAAATGCAATGTATTTAATTATAATTAGTCACAGGACATCATCATATCAATGCCACAGTCACACCCACATGAACTGAGATTACCATTGTAGGAAGGCATAACATTATCACAAAAAACAGGATACACTTCATTCACCACAAACAGCGTGAGACTCCAAAATCATTCGCTTATCGCATGACCGTGTCGTCCACCGTGAGACCACGCAAGCTATCACAATTTTGTAACATCCACCAAGCAACATTGTATAAGTAGGTACTTACCATCGTTATTTAGTTTGATTTTTCGGAATGACCGCAAAACGTACTTATCCAACATAACCTGGACTCACAGCTCTAACTAATTACACATACCTACACATTACACACGTGTGAACTTACGATGGACTCCGGTGAGCCCGAATCCGCAATAAATTGCTACTGGATAGCTTTTTTGAAGAAAAAACCGAGAGATCGTAATTTTTTCATCTACTCAGTTATTAATTCCTGGAAGTCTTGTGCTGCGTGCATCCAAAGTTTAATCGCGTAAAACGAATAAAACGAATGGAGTTATGACTGCAGTCTTGGGAATATCATCACCTGGGGCCATGCGAATATTAAAATTAAAAGTCCAGGTCCGGTTTTCCATCTGAGTAAGTTAGGGAAATCAAGCAGTCGCGGTAATGGGTAGCGTTCGGATGGCAGTGAGTCTACGGTAATCTTCGCATGGTCTTATTTCCTTATCATTTTAGCGACAAGTCGGTTAGCCCAATGACTATCTGAAGGCCTATAAATACCTTATTGCATCATTCGTTCGAATTCAGCTTTCGCTATTTTGTACGATGAAGTATTGAGTGGACGTACTTTTTCATGAACCGGGGACCGTTGGTGTATCTACAATCGCGTGTGGATGGTCTGTAGGATCTAACTTAAAATTTTTTGTTTGGTGATGTTAGAAAACTTCTGTATGATGAAATCATCCATATAGGTACCTACTACATCAATCGTCATTGATTTTTACGGAACGCAAAAGTACTAGTTTCGTCGGAAGTTATAACGGTTGCTGTGCGCGATAGTAGTGTGATTTTGTCAACCACTTTCCTACCATGTAGGTAGATCTACCATTAATGTTTGCGCCTATGATTGAACTATGCACTTCACCTTATACTTATTTTCCATTTAAATGTAAGGCCACCCTTTATTAACCGTTATGATTTTTTCACTGTAACTGTTTTTATTTTAGTGCCGTTTGCTGTGTAAGTACAATACCTGTGCGGATTAATTATCAAATACCTGTTGAAATGTCTATTACTTACACACAAACAATGTAAACGTTCGACACTGGCGATGTTATTTATTCGTCCCGCTGTCTGAAATTAGTTTCCTGAACTTTGAATAGGTAGAATGAGTAGAGGTGATGTAGTGATAAAAATACAGATAATTTGTGCCACCGGTGATTTTGGCTAAACTTTCTGGTTTTACTTCGCCTGAGTCGCATGCAATTAAAGCAGCTCTAACAGAATGTGGTAGGCGCCCGTTCCAAAATAGTTTTAAGGTTTCGTCCGGGACTCGGATTTCCTTAGATTTTGCATTCGTCTTTTATAATAGTACTTCGGAAATTAACCTATGTTTTAGGATCTCAAATTTATTTGATTCGTGCCTGTTTTGTAAAATAACACTAATGTCACTTGATTCGCTCTGATTTAGCCTACCTATTAAAAGTTGACTTTTGTGGTGGTCACTTGCCTTTTGAGGGTCCTCAATGACAATGAATTGGTGGAACGAATGTCTGGGTCGATCTCGCAGGAAGGCCGGTATTCACGGAGTGATGGAAGCTGTCGTCATCTGCTGTGACTGCTCCAGAGACGGTGGTGCAGCTGTAGACATGGCTGCAGGGTGTGGTTGAACAGGGTTGATAACGCGGGACGATAATTGCGTGCAGTTGTGAGTACAGTACGTCGCGCAAGCACACATCGTCACACCACTTTGCCAATAAGCTGTGTGTATGGTTGTTAACAGAAGGAGCGGCACAATGATACGCGTGTTCTTTACTGGACGTTTATTTAACGACTGAGTTACTCTGTGGACTGACCATTGAACTTAACTAACTTATAGCAAATCAAACTAATGTGCCAATGATTAACTAAGACTATTGTGCCTACGCGCTGCTATACTAAAGTATACTTTGTAGTGGATAAATAGACGTGCATTGAGTCACAGAGAATATTTGAAATCACTGTAAAAATCAATAATCTGTATGTATGTAATTGTATTATAGACTATTAAATTAAAGAATAACAATTATAAATAGTTTACACCTGATAATCTTAATCTGGTTGGAAATCTTTTTTTTTTGTTTTTTGGTGTCGGGTTCGAAAATCCTCATGGAGACCTACTACCCTCGGGGAAGGGCGAAGGGTACTGTCAGAAAAGCTCTACTAGTTTCGCGGACGCGGCGACGTCGCATAACAGTAGGCTGCGCGACGTCGCCGCGTCCGCGCACGCTGCTCATGAGGAAGAACCCCTCTGTGGTTCGAAACTAGTAGAGCTAGAGCTTTTCTCAATTTATACACGTGAGTAACCCGCGATTTTTAGTTAATATTTTAATTTGTAATAAACAGAGGGTGATTCGTCTTTAAAATAAATTCAAATAGAAATCTCAAAAACTCATAGTTTGTAGGCACCAGTATTTTTTTAAAGATGTCAATGTCAAACGTCGAACGAAAACAAACGTCAACGTCAACTTGTACCATAATAACACTATTGGAATTGGAATTTAATATAAAATGTAATTTTAAGTACTATTTCAATGAAAAATAGAATTGTACTTTCAAAAAATATTATCGTTTTTTGGTTTATGAAACTGTAAATTCACATTATTTAATAAAGCGACTTTTCATTCATCGTTATCGAAAGAAGAGGACATAACCTTACCTAATCGACTGAAATTTCTGAAAAATGTCTGAAGGGAACAATAAGTCGACTGCAGAAGCAAAATCTACAACAGATAATGCTAGCAACAATCAATCGGAGCCTGCGCCAAAGAAGGATGAAGCATGGGGTTACGATTTGTACCCCGAAAGACGCGGTACTTTTACTCCGAAATTAAGTAATATTCTTATTGGTAAAGAAGGGAAAGAGAACATTGATAAATTCAAGTGTGAACAGCATGTTTATGAGTGTGTAAAAAATAGTAAGTAATTTATATAATAGAAAGGAGCTATTTCCATACTAAACATAGTTGCGGGTAACCTGTAGTGTTTCAAATTAGTGCTTTAATTTAAACTTGGTATTCTTTTTTAGGTTCTATTGTTAAGGTCATGATGGCTGCTTTGAAAAGTTCTGGATGGTGAGTATCGTATCCTTACAAAACAGTGACAACATTATTATATTATCATTTACTGTAATACAGTTAAAGATGAATAGTAATGTTAATTTTTTACAGCCCCATAGATATCCGTCGACATATATCATGTGAAATTTGCGACTACTCTGTCAGTGGGGGCTATGATCCAGAATTGAATCAGGTAACAATGCTTTTTATAAAAATTAGACTGATGAAATATAGTGCAACAGTAAAGTCAGCCTAGAATTAGATTTTGAGATATAGTAAAACTACAATAATATAATTAAAATGTGTAGATAAAGTAAAACAAATATTTTTAACCACAAGTATTGGAAAAGTATTTTTATTAACTGAGGAATAAATGAAGAATTGATTTGCACTTTCAGATAGTTGTCTGCCAAAATGTTTCCACCCGTCAAGGAATGGTGCAAGGAGTGCTGGCCCATGAGATGATACACATGTTTGACTACTGCCGGAACCAATTGGACTTTAAGAATATGGAACATCTAGCTTGCACAGAGATAAGGGCAGCGAACCTCACACATTGCTCCTTCGCAAGTGCCTGGTCGCAAGGTGATGCTTCATGGGGAAAAATTAAAAAAGCTCATCAGGTAACTTGAATATTCTCTAATGTCTTATATTTATGAATCCATTGACACTAAGTTATCACATACCTGTTATAAATACTCATTTTATATAGAAGCTTTAAAGAGGCATAATACAATTTGTAAAAAATAATTACTAATTACTTACTCATTAGGAATAAGAAATTGGAAATAGTTGGGTTTAGTAATGTGAAACTAGTACAGCTTTTCTCAATTTATTCAAATGAGTAGGTCAATACTTTCAATAACTTTTTTAAACTACAATTTCCGATGTGTTGTGCATGTGTGTTTACAAACATACAATTTCACAAACACACCTAGACCCAGTACAACAATTTCTTTATCACATAAAAAGTATGTTTTAATAAAGGCTCTGTTTATCAGGATTGTGTGAAGACCAAGGCCTTATATTCTGTGCTGGCTGTTAGACAAATTGGCATGAAAGAGGCTGTGGATATAATAGAAAAAGTCTTTCCCAAGTGCTATAATGATCTGGAGCCAATAGGAAGAAGGATAAGAAGGAACTCTGACGACATGCTCAAAGCATTTAAAGAAGCAGCCTATTATGGGTATGAATAGAAGCTAATTGTTGTTATTGGAACTAAGCGTAATGATGTAGATAGTGTAATATATGTAAAGTACAATCAGGTAGAGCCATTAACATGTTAAATAAAACAGCTGGAAAATGATTTAAAATAATGTCTTTTATTTCATTATTTTTTTAATTCACTTACTTATAATTATTATTACATATTGCCTAAGATTTTTGTAAGGTTTTTAATACTGCCTTTCCACAGTTTAGTTTAGATAACAGATATGAATCACAAGCGTAACCCTATGTCTTAATTTAGGCAAGTAAATGACTGAAAAGGCACAAATTTGTTCAGTAGGTGAAGAAGTTAATACTAAATTGAACCTATTTGATATTTCGACATAGTTTTTCCGCCACGATGTGTACTATAGATAACACCGATGAAATTTCGTAAAAATAAGTACCTATGTAATTATTTTTTTAGGCCTTTATCTCTATACACCAGTAGGGACTTTGTTTTTAATTCCTATTTACTTCCAACCGAATTCCTTGTAAGACATCAAAATTTCATGCTACATGCTACAGTATATACAAATGTTTGGTCTTAGAATGTTGTGAGTGAACCATAAGTGTAGTAAAGCTACGTTTCTATTATTCACACGATTTCATGACAGTTCTCAGTGATAGCAAAGGGATAGAAACTGAAATGCTATTTGGCGTGGCATGTAATCTAAACTTGTCCTTTTCATTTGTTTTCATTACAAGCATGTTACAGCGATCTTTGCCTATATAGAGGTAAAGGTGAACGGGACGTTTCACCTCAGGAGCGCCATCTATTGAGCAAACAAATATTTCTCCCCAATTCGGTTAAAAAAACTTCGTACACATCCGTGGTGGTATGAACAAATAATAACAAACCGATCATAAATAAATGATTCATCTTATTATCACACGATGCTTCGTCCTTAAACTATAAACAAGTACTTACAATTACTTTAACTTACAACTTTACTGCAATGGGAACAAGATGGTGAAATGTTACATGAAACACTTTGTGCGTAAAACGGATTTGTGCTACGTTTTTTTTTCGGCGAAATACGAACTTAAAAATGAAATAATGAAGCATTAAAAGTGAATTATAATTATTGTAACCACATGTGACTAGGAATAACATAAAATTGATAATATTTTTTTAAGAACCTATTAAATCTATTGGCCATTTAATGATTTAAGCTGGCCACACATTGGTCATAAAAATTGACGGCGTCTCGAAGCTATTAATAATTTAGTAATCGGTATAATTCTGTGTCAGTTAGTAATGTATAAAATGAGTTTTACGTGCTGTAGATAGGTACTGAAGCCGCTGGATGCAGATTGCTTTCAACTGGATTATTTTAAAAAAAAGAATGCATTAACAATTACGTTAACTCACTTGCTGATTTGTGTGGACAGCAGTAATTACTTAAATACATACTATTAAAGATACCTAAGTTAAAAGACAATCAAAGTGTGGCCAGGTTTTAGTCCTTTAATTATGGTGTTTGTAATATTTTGGATAGTAGTAAGTGAGTAGTTACAAACATTAGTATTTTGTGTAACTATTTACAGAGTGTCTAGTGCAATTTGACGATCAGCGCTCTGATTGGTCTACTTCAAGTTAACCAACCAATCAAAGGGCTGAATGCGGTAACGTTTCAATGGCGTTACCGTAAAACAAACTGGCCATTGGCGCTCGAGTTACAGGATGTTTGCGTGCCTACTGATGATTTTTGCATTAACATTTTCAGTGAAAGTTGTGTCAATAAGATTATGTAATCTTATTAAAATAACATAATTTTCTGTTTAAAAAAATATTTTCTTGACATGTGTTAGCTATAAAATTATCTTAGAATGACAACCTATAAACTAATTTATAATAAGTTAATATAACTAAATGAGCACTACGTTGTCTATGATATCTCAGGCCTTACTCATTAAATATTTACTTGCTAGACTTAAGTTACATTATATTACAATGTACACCTACCGGTAGGCATTTGTCTAAATGCCATTTACGAGTTAGGGATCAATTAAGACATGATCTACTTCATACGGAAAATGGCTTTCAATAAAGAAAAAGAAAATAAGGATTACAAAGTAATGGCTAAAAGATTTACATTAAAAACGAAAACAATAAAAGGTTTAATGAAATTAAGTACTAATAAATAGGTATAACAATTTATAAGCAGTATAGAAACACTCCATGTTACGCGTATTCGTTGCATAAGACTTATTTGTTCCGAGTATAGAAATATAAGTAGATAGAGAATCTTCGTCAAAATTCGTTGGAAAAACACAAGGCAAAAGGCACCCGAGTCAGAAAAGGCATTATTCTTATAATAGTTTTGTACTATTGAGCTTAACTGTGGTCCCCATGCTGCCGCTTACGTACTTAACGATATCTTCCTTTTCCATATTGTGCTATACGATTTTAAATCTCACGAAATTATTTCTTTTTTCTGAGCATTTCTAAGATATCTAATAATTTTAGAATTTGCTAGCGTCACAGTACTCAATCTTATAAAACTGAGACTGTATTCTTACAAGGCACATTTACAGCTCTAATTTTAAGAACACTATGAACAAACTTCATGGAACTTTCAACAATTGCGTTTTCGCTCACGAAGAACTTCGAAGACGCGCTAAATGTTCAACATTGTTCATTAAGTATTTAAAGGCTTTGACTTACAAATAGAGGGTCACACGTATATATTTGTAATTTGACTAGTAATTCGTCTAATATGTACAACAACGTCACAACGTCTGCATAGGCACTGTAATCACAATTGGTGATGTAACCGTGCGAGAACTTGTCACTTGTATGGTCACTTGAGCCGCGAGGCGCGGTGCGCCTCACTGAGGTATGTGGTCCAGTATATGACGGTGAACAGACAGAAGCACATGGGGAACACCATGAGCGCGAACTTGTCGAGCGCGCCGTGCTGCGCGCCGCAGAACAAGACGGCGCGGTCCACCGCCTGCCGCAGCCGCGCCACCGCGCCGCTCGGCCCGCCGCCGCCCGACGGCATCGACTCCAGGATTGGGGAGTCCTACAAGTAACAAAATTATCATTCTCACAATATCTAAGTCGCGTTTTTCTAACAACTTTCCAATATATTAACACGGTCTACACACAGACTATGTACTGTAGCCATTTCTAAGTACCTACTCATACGTCAAGAGCCCTAGTAATCCTACCACAATTAGATAACAGTGATTATAAGCAGTGCGAATTTATTTGGCCTGTTCTAATACTTGTAGGTAATTTATATACTGCTTTGCTAGCCCACATTAGCCGAGTTACTGCTCTAGTAACTAAAGTATGTTTACAGTTGCAGTGACGCTCTTGTATCTAAGTACTCTACACATCATACCACCACCAATAGAATACCGCGAATACTTTACAAAACAAATAGTTTTTGTTATCTTTTGGCATGCACTAAGTATGCTTGCCTGCTATTGTTGGCCATCAGATTTGCAAGGAAAATACTGTCTACGCTAGTTATTGTTATACATAATTACTTTATTGTGTAATTTGCGTATTGAGTTTACGATAGCCACACTGTGCAGTGTTGTTGCTTTAAATTCATATTTTACCTTGCTGACTGATCTTGTTTCACATCCAACCTTATTTTGTCTCCAATTCCTTCCCGAGAGAGACTAGAAATTGGTGGCCTAAGTTTAAAAATTAATGCACCTAAATAATACGTGGTATGTTAAATATTTTACATGCAGTGTAATGCTACACTGAGGTACTCGGGAGGTACGTATTTATTCTATGGATTGGGCGAGGTGAGGCTTGTTGGTATTTACCCTCTGAATGGTTTGGTGTTCCATTTGTTGCTTGAAGCCGTCATCCTCGACGCTCAACGTGGGCGAGAACATCCCGCCCTGCGGCGTGCCCGTCACCGGCGTGCTCAGCCTCTGCGAAGGCAAATCTGGCGCGTTAGTGTCGCGGTGCGAAGCGTGCGCTAGAGACATGAGCTTGTCAGGTGGTACGTAATGTGGTGGGATGACTGTACAGTGGGGGGAGCATGGATCCGCACCTGCGAGTGGTTGATGTGTAGAGGGGGCGGCGCTAGCTGCGCGGCGGAGGCAGCTCGCCGCAGGTCTGCTCGCCGTCGACTCCAGCTCTTGTCGTAACGGATACCGAACAGCACCACAAAGTACTCCATCAGCGCCAAGAACACGAATATAGTGCAGGATATCAACCACACCTCGATACACTTCAGCTCAAGCGCGTCTGGCGAGTTTGTGCTGAAATGTAAGACGTTAATGTTTGTATAGTAAGTACCTCCTTTGCACAATTATAACTATTTGTTCAGGATGAACATAACAATAAACGTTTTATTTAAAATACTACGAATGCTACGAGCATATGTATTTCTCCTGATTTCAAGGAACAACATGACGGCAAAAAATATTATTAGTGTACTAGTTATGTACTTCAGTTTAATAAATATACCTAATTTTATTTTTAAATATGCATGTGTGTTGAGGCTCACCTGACTGTATCGAACATGGTGACGAGAGAGAGCAGCGTGGTGACAAGTAGTACCATGCGGCCGGGCACTATCTCCGGGATGACGCAGAAGCTGCCCCACGAGATGATGACGAATAGGGAGGACGGCAGGTAACTCTCCAGCAGGTAGCTGCGCAATTCCCGGGATAGCTTGATCTGCAGCCGCGCCGCTGAGTGCTCCCCTACACCGTCAAACAAACAAATACAGGCTCCATACTGCAGTCTTATCTACCAGTGTTTAGTGGTCAGTGGTCAGTGCTATATTAACTACCTACCTAAAGTCTATAACACTTACTATTAACTATTGAACACCTACTTACACGGTGCTGTCTAATACTAGGTTTATGGCTACACTTACCGCTTCGCTCTATGTACCAATGACCTCAGCATCAACAAGCGTCAACATCGTTCTATAATTCACTATTTGGCGTGGTCCTGCTTTCATCAAATGGCCATTTAATGGTTGCCATCAGTGGTATACATAACACTTACATACTTATAATGTAGGTACAACAACAAAATTCAAATCGTGCGTCACTCACACTCACAGACACTAAGATGTTGCAAGGCACGGATGTACTTTTATAGGTACATTCTAATTATATCAACTTAAATACAGTTGTTCTTAGAGATGTACAATGTACATACAGTGGTGATTTTTCTGCATTCGTAATGCTTGTTGAATAGGTACCGACCCATCGCGATCGCGATCATCCGCGCCAAGCAGTGCGGGCGACATGCCAGCGTATAGCAACAGCACGTTAGCGTTAATAGGTACATAGTTAGTTACGAGGCGCAAACACAAGCGCAAAGCAATAAATATACATTTACCTTCACCAAAATTGCGAATATGATTACTTTTGTCCGTGACGAAGGTGACCACGTATTTGGGCAGACGGAACTGGCTGCGCTGCTCGCTGCCCACGGGGCCGATGCCCAGCCACGGCGCGACCTCGCGCCACTCGAACCGCACGTCTTGCGTCGTGTATTTGTCTGAAATAATTTAATACTGGCATCAAATAACGTCTACGGGTCTACCCAATCATCGCAAGCTTGTAAACGTCTAACAGTGATATAGTAAACGATTTCAGTGGCTCGACAATCTATAAAAACATTTAAGAATCCAAACTCGAACAACTGGCATGTAGACAAAACATGTAATTTTGTCTAGCATTAAGAAATCAAAACACATTTTACGATTCTGAAACATTTCGCACAAAGTTTCTCAAAGACTGCGACTGTGTTAATTGTTTCGGTGTTTGACCTGGACAGTTTTAAATTACTTATTTATTTTATTTAACATTCTCCACATTCCAAGGTTTCAACAGCTACGAAAAGTTAAGATGAAGTGGGTCTTAAAAAAAGAGTTGCTCGTTCTTCTCCAAAGGAACTTACATTATAGAAGGAGTAATAATAAATAGCTTCACTAGAGGACAGACAGAGAGACACGCATACAATTTAACCTTCTGATTTTTTTTGCTTGAGATTTAAAAGTGCCTGTTGCTTGACATTTAAATGATTTGATTTGATTTAAGTCATTATCAATTAAGTTATTGGCATGCCCAGGCATACAGTTACATGTAATAAACATTTTTTTTTATGTAATAGGTCGGCAAACGAGCAGACGGATAACCTGATGGTAAGCAATCAGCGCCGCCCATAGACACCCAACGGAATCGCAACGGAAGAGTTACGAGTGCGTTGCCGACCTTTTAGGGATTAGGGATTTGGAGATTTAGAGATTGAAGAGGAATTGAGGGCGGAGAAGGATTGGGCCTCCGGTAACCACCCCGGTAAACTCCGGTCGAGCCGACCCGACGAAATTATTATAATCAGTAAATACTTACAACTACTGAAGTCGATGGCGCAGTTCTGTACGTCCAAGGGGTACAGAACAAAGTCCATCTCGCACTTGATTGTTATTGTCGCACTGCAAACGTAAATTAAAATATTGTATTTTATTAAACTTATATAAATTACTTGCTTATAGGGTCAATCTTAAAACATTTGTAACATAATATATCATGACATTGACTGCACAGGCTGTTGTACAACGTGTCGTGGGCTCGATTCCCGCACCGTTGTTCCGGGTCTGGGTGTGTTGTGTATGAGAAATTGTATGTTTGTAAACGCAACCACGACACAGGAGAAAATCATAGTGTGTGGCAAGGTTTTTTAAAAAAGAAAACAAAAAAAAATATTAACAAAAACGGATTTCAGATTTTTCTCAAAACGGTGCAGTTACACAATGGAAAACTACACAACGTTTAGAAGAAAACTACTTTCTTATAGTTTTCCTTAATTTAAAAATTCAAGGACACAGTAAAAATATGTAAGGTAACATTATTTCTAGTTCGAACAAATGCATTCACCAAGCCTACACAACTAACCTTTTTTACTCATCATGTCTAAATACAATTGGTACCTATTCATATCAAACAAAACAGAGATCACTTATCAACCCTATTATGACTTTACAAGCGTTAAATGATTTATTATATTTTCGGCTAACTCACGTAATAATTTGACGAGATACTCGACTAGTTTCAAGCCATGCTAGAGGCCCATTTTCATGAGCAGCATTCCGCGACACGCTTGAAAATAAATCATTTAACGCTTGTTAAGTCATAAAAGGGTTGATAAGTGATCTCTGTTTTGTTTGATATGGATAGGTACCAATTGTATTTAGACAACAAAACATAATAAATGATTTAGAATGTCTCACGAAAGTTATAATAAAAATATAGCGTTAAATGAATTGTGAAAATACGAATTCTAAATTTAATAAACAAAGGTGGGTATAAACATAAAGCTTTGTAGACGAAAGTTTATTATGATGATGTTTGGAAGTAAATATGACGTGTATTTACGTTGTAGAGAAAAATATAGATAGTAAAGAATATATAAAGTGATGGACGAACCCAATACTGACTGAGACGGTGCGGTTGGAGTAGAGCCGCAGTGACGCCATCTCTTGGAGGACGGATAGTATCCTCATAGTTTGAAGCTGCCAGATGTAGAGGTCTGGTGTCCAGATGAGGGCGCGGAACTCCCACGGCAGGTCGATGAAGGGCATGTTTGGTGGCACGTGTAGCCTGCTGTCTGCCCATGATACTTGCAGGAACACGTCTAGTGTTATCTCCTGAGGATAAACCATAAAAGAGCAAGTTAATTCACTTGAAAGTAAGTAAGAAAGAAAAAAAGAAGGTTTTGGTTTTTTGACTGATTACTATGTAATTTGTAAGAGATGATGCGAGGTGAGAATATATTACCTCTTTGTTCTCATCAACTCCAGATACCCGATTGACATTCACCCCAACGTATACTGTCGTGTTTTTATCTGAAAAAAGAAAACAAGAACAATGGTAAACTCACGTATTACATTCCTTGAAATAATGACACATTGTTCGGGCATAATAGCGCCTAATCAATGGTTGTACGGCCGCGGAGATATCACGGTCGAAAACCACGATATTAGCTAAGCGAGTAGGCCACTGCCTTAACGTAAGCCTGCCCTCGACTTTGGACGGAAACTCTTGTATGAAAAGGCAAAAGAAAAAGCAAAATTATCTATTATTTATAACATTCATAATAGCCCACGAAGCTAAATTTGTAGTTACTGAAGCGTCATAGGGACGTCATGCAACTGGATTTTAAGTTTTGATGATAGAACGAAAAAATCGTTTCAAGACATTTTATTCTCCCGGTATAAGAAAAAGGGATCGATTGTTTTAATTTTTTTTATCTTGTTTTTCTAAATTGTGTACCTAACCTTTGTTTTAGTTAAAGTGTGTGACTCTACGTATCTCTAACAATGAAAGGATTTTAATCTGCCAAATTGCATGGTGGGGTTAACCGACTGGGGATAGAAACGGGATAGAAACGGGATCCCTTCAGAACCCTACCATTTAGAAACATTGTTTTCATGAATCGACAAAGTGTGACCTACTAAGTACGGCAGTGGTGGATTTATCTTCAATGGTTTTCTGTTGGCAATCAGAGGCTTAATTTACTATCTATCTTACCTACCTACATAATAATATGAGTAGTGATTAAGTTTTTTAATCGCAATTTTTTTATCTCTTGTTTTGTTTTATTTTACGACAGTCTCTAAAATCATCTTGGATATAATTTGTTTATTGTTTGCTTTATTTCGGAATGTTGTGTACATTAGTATTCCCTAGTATATCCCCCTAACCCTGGATAGGTCCTTGAACTCTGTTACAAGTAGTGCTGCCAAATCTTTTGACTGTAACAACGTGATAAACATGTCACTTCAGCTATTGAGATCTCGTGAAAGGAATCTCAAAAACTTTCAATGAAACCAACCAACTAAGGAAAAACACCGAAAAACAACGAAAGAAATATGTTGTTTAGATTGAAACAGAGTATTTAG